TAGACAGAATATATTAATCTATTCTCTGGACGCACAACATTACTCAAAAGGGAGTAAGCGAATTTTGTATACCCCCAAAATGACGAACATTCCTCATTGCCAGATGATGCATAGCGTCGGCACCAGGGTGTGCGCAAGTTGTGAGTTCGAGACTCGGCGTCGGTAAACGAAGAATAACGTAATAAAATACGAATACTTGTCAAATTGAAGGTACACCTCTAGTTATTATGTCATATCTCCGAGATTTAGTTAAATGAAGTTGTGAGTTCGAGACTCGGCGTCGGTAAACGAAGAATAACGTAATAAAATACGAATACTTGTCAAATTGAAGGTACACCTCTAGTTATTATGTCATATCTCTGAGATTTAGTTAAATGAAGTTGTGAGTTCGAGACTCGGCGTCGGTAAACGAAGAATAACGTAATAAAATACGAATACTTGTCAAATTGAAGGTACACCTCTAGTTATTATGTCATATCTCCGAGATTTAGTTAAATGAAAGGTTGTCATTACCTTCTTAAGGAAAATCCACACCAAAAAGCGACTCGTCGTTTTTGGGTACAGTTTTGTACCTTTACATAAGGAACTGACAGGGCTTCTTTTCTTCTTAAATCCGCACACATCCTGCGACGTTGGCATGATTTTCAAAGAAATGTGGCAATATGGGAGGATAAAACTAATTACCTTTACAATCAGACACGAGTGTTACCATTCACGAAATAAACACTGGTAGAAAAAAACGTTAGATATCGGACTCTGCATGATTTATGTAATGTTGATGTTCTTCCACAAATTGAATTCATTTATTATTCAAACAATGAACACAAACTGTTTGTGTGTGGTTTGACAGAATAGGAGCGCCAGACTAACAAGTCGTATTAAGAGGTAGGCTTTTTCTCCCTCCCTATAAACATTTTTCGAACTTTCAGACCCAATTGATAAACAATTTAAATTGTCTTGTCAGGCACTTCAGATTTCTTTAGTAATTACCTTTCGTTTATAAAGGACAAGAAAACTAAGTTAACAAAAAAAAAAAAAAAAAAAAAGTTTTCCTAGTTCCAAAAAATCCATATTACATCGCTAATATTTCGAAGAGTTACAAACGTAATGTCTAAGTTAAGATACCGTCCATGTTATGGTAGAGGGTAAAAAGTTCAGAACTAATAATTCATGTAACAGTGATTTGGGGAGTTCGAGACGGAGTCTATGAGCCGGACAATGTTTCTGGCGTTGGGGTCTGAGTCGAAAAAAAACTCGGAACCAGCTCCTGGTAATATTTTTAAATCCTTAGTTTGTCCGATTAAATTTTCATTTTTTTCCGTTAGTCAACATTCTTTTGCCGGAAGGTACGGAAGCATGAATAGGAGTTCTTGTGACTGAGCTTGATTAAATTCCGATCATCTCGCAGAAAACCCTTTATAACTCGTAATGCTTTGGAATTCGTGGAAACGTTTGAGAATACCAAACAATTTTTAAAATTGTAAAATGTTGTTGTTGTTTATATCCAAAAGGTGGCCATTTCGTTAGCAACACTCATCGGAGATCCCATAAAGTATGTTTTTTTTCGATCGGCATATGTCCCAAGCCGATACAACGACTTCCGCCTTATGTTGAAAGATGTTCCCATTCAAGAATGTAAAAGTGTTGGCGGGATTCCACTGTCCACAAATAAAATACAGGGAAAATGCAGTTGCAGCGTTGCGACTTTTCCCAACTGTTGAATTAGTTTGCCCAATCATTTTGGTGCACTTGTCCGTCATACAAACACACTGGCGAGGCGACGATGCTGGCGATAATGACTAAAAACGTAATAATGAAGTTATCGGCGATCATGATAACTCTATCTGGCTGTGCCTTTTGTTTTTCGATGACATTGTGAAATATTCGGATTCAAGATGACGCGATAGTTGCTTGTCTGCAATTCAAGTTTTTGCTTTACTGTGGCACCGGTCATCATTTGTCCAAGTGTTTGTGTCGATGTGTTAGTGGCTAAGCCGTTATGCTGTTTGAAACAGAAAGATATTTACATAATATCTGCTTTAATTAATTTCAAAAATTTAGTTTGGACCAAAAACAGCCATGCTCCGATTGTGGTCTACAGGTAGATGAGGAAGATACAACTGAAGGTGTGAGCGTATGTGTGCTTGTGTATGATCGTCGCCAGCACACACGAAGCTTGAAGTGTTGACCTTGTCTTACTTAAATTGTATAAAACACAACAACAATGAAATTAAACTCGGCGTCCACTGCACTTACTCCACATCACACACAGCTTGATAGAGCGTGGTAGATTAAAAATTCATGCATTTCAAAACAAAGGCAATATCAAAAGACGTTAATGATGGCGATTATTTTTGCCTTGCTTGAATCGATAGTGGTTAATTATAATTAGTGTTTGGTTTGTCTACCAGATTGACGACTTTTTCTTTTATCGAAAACATCACGACATTCGACTGCTGTAATAATAACTACTACCTGAAGAATGCACACTCACAAAGTATCGACGTTTAAATATGGACCCAGATTGCATTGCTAAGGGGTGATTCAAATGGCAAAGCTCTTGTTTGACAGCAGTCATGGGCCCATTGAACTGTCTCCGTACTTGTCCCTTTTTTGACCGAAAATAATGCTACAGAATGGATTGGTATCACATCTGTAAAATGAACATATATACTTTTGTGAAATGGCTAACGCGAGAGCTTGCGGTGAAAGATGTCATCGCCAAGAAAAATGGTAACAAACAAATGTTAAAGTTAAACCATCGACCGGCAAAACATCTAACAAACGATAGCCGAATGGGACGAGAAGGTTATTTACGACTCGGGTATTGAAACCGTCGTTGCGGCAGCAACACCGATGAGGATGGTAGTCGTAGGTAATTGTGCTGCTGTTTGGTATTGGTATAGCGAGGCGCGTGTTTGGTATCAGCATTACACAACCAATAGCTGGACAGGATTATAATGGAAGCCAAGACATTTCCTGCCATTATTTCACACTGACCCAAACATCTCATTTTACATTTGAGATTTCCAAACAGATTTGAAACGAAGCATGCACTTGGATACGACACCGGTGCTTTGCACCGTGATTAATAATTCCAAGCAAGACCACCTCTTTTTCAGTTTAATTAGCCATAATTTGCGGATGTGGCGGCTATAGGTCTGTAAATATTTTCTTCGTACTGCGAACTTAAAAAAGTGTTAAATGGCATTTTGTTATTACATAACCGAGTGAAAACATCTTTCGGTGGAGTGCTGAAATCTTCATCTCGTAATGTTACTCTGGGCACATACATACATGTTTATCATCAGCAGCAACAACAACAACGACAGCAACAATCCCCACTAAGCAAATCTAGTTTTGAGTATTTACTTAACTGGAAGTGTGTAGTCACAAGGCAAGGGTACACGTTGGGGGTTTTCTGAGAGAAAAAGTGAAATAGTTATGCAAATTTGTGCATATCAAGCGGGAAGAGGTAATGCTTGACATTGGTATGGTCGAAATACTTTAAGGATCGCCTTAGCCAGGGGCTCAATACTTGTTCTATGAGAAATCTTATAAGCGAAAGAAATTTAAAATGGACGAATGCATAAAAATATGTTTTATTTCATGTTTTCGCGAACAAGAATCCAGCCCCAGGTGAAACGAAAACGCATCACGTAGTCGCAGTCATCAAAAAGAAAAAGTCCTCACACGACTTTGACTGTGGCTATATTAATGTCTTTATAACACGATTTTAAAAATTATTACTCGCAGAACCGCAATGTCTCCATTTTTCGATGACTGTAGGTGTGCCCTTTGCTGTGCTGAATATTTCACAGCCATAGCACAGCAAAAGCATTTCTTTTTTTAACAAAACACTACCGCAGCGCAGCGACAATATAATTTTGGCACTATCATAACTTCCCTGCAGCAAATACAAATCTGCTGGGACTCTGTAACCCACATAAACATTTTGTGACAGTGTACAAAACTTTTCCTCTCAATAATTTAAATTTATTCAATCGGAGGTCCTCTTGTTATCTACAACAAGTTAACGACTGCATTATCGCGTTTTTTCAATTTTGCGTAACAAAGTTATCAATCTTTGTCGGTAACTCCTAAAATAGTTAGAGAGCCCCACTACTGATGGACCATAAATAAAGGCATATTTTTAGCACTGCTGACAAAACGTTTATATGGGAAATATATCCAAGCCTGAGGCAGTATATCCAAGCTTTCATTATTCGGTGTCATCAACTCTGGTGTAACCCATACTCTCATCGCAACATTACCATGACAATAGGGTATAAACTGGGGAATAAACGCTCTGGAATGCTTTAGCAGTTAAATAGCAAAGTCAGCCGTCGTACCACTTCGTAAAATATAGCAGACTCACCACAGACTCTTAAGTAGGTATGATGAATATGTGTGCAGCGAACGTCCCCTACCACCCCTGTCCCCTACTACTACTGCTATTGTTGACTGTGAACACATAACTAGCGTGGGGTGTCAATAGGCAGGTGTAACTACATTTACGAGGCGAGTACCACATATTCGGCAAAAGTTCCCAGCGTTGTTTCGCTAGGTGGCCCTGTAAGCCAAGATTGCGTTGCATAGTCGTAATTCTTATGCCATAGTTTCCCAGCATAAATATTCATTATAAACCGGGTCATCAAATCAGTTTCTTTTAAACAAGGGCATGTCACACGAAATAAGTAGTTATTCTTTGGCCATTTAAAGTCAATAACATGAGGACATATCTACTTTCTTCTTCAAAAAGAGCTAGACTCAGTGTGTACATTTAAATACCAAGTTTGAAACATTTCCGTTGGATCCGTTAAATCCTTAAAATACCGAATCTGGGGATCTATAAGAAAGCGTGGATTCTTTTAGACAAGGTTCCGCCCCTGGATTGTCTTGCACTGGATTTCGAGCACTTTCCACTCTAGCGTTGATGAAGCATTAACCTGAATTATTAAAGCACAAATGATTTTTCTAATAGAATTTTCTCTTTTTAGTTGATTGGGATTTTAGTATCCCTAGCAACAGCTAATTTAGCATCCAAAGATGATACTTCCGAGAAATCAGCAGAGAAAGCAGTGGCATCAGGTTCTACAGCAAATAATAGTGAAAAGAGTACTGCGACAGAGTCGGGGACAATAACATCAAATAACCGCAGGGCCAAGTCCTTAAAAGCTGTCCAACCTGGCGACAATCGCGGCAAACGAAATCTTTACGATTTTGGCAATAGTTATCTGTACTCACAAGTTGCAGCCAGAAGGGCTGGTTACAGTCCTGATCCCAGAACGGCTTACAGCACTCAGCAAGTTTTCTCAAACGGAAATGGTATTGGTATGTGAACATTTTCAAGGTATTATTGACTTGTGATTTTAATGTGTTTCCTTTCCCCATTATAAAGATCAATACACCGCTAACTATGGCCCCTATCAACAATACATTGAGGCCCCTGAACCCATCATTGAAATAATTATTAAGGACGCCAACGAAACATTGCCTAACCCCCAACCAACTGTTGTCAAGACCAAAAAGAAGAAGGAAAAGGTTCATGTGTTTTATGTCAACTATAAGAAGGACGAGAACAACAAATTACACTTGGAAAGTCCCATTGCCTCACTGAACAATGACCAGACCGAGGAGGAGGAAGACGAAGAGGATGAAGTTATCGAATATCCTGCAACCCCCTCTCCTCCAGTAAAGACAACAACACTGAGAGCTATTATACACCCAGACTCTGAGAAATACCATGCTGACAGTGGCATTCACGTCACCTTTGGAGCCCAGAGCAAAACAAATTCCGGTCACGAGGAACACGATGCAGAAAGCGTACAAAGACAAGTGGTTGCTGTTCCAATTTCAAGCCCCCAGACAACATTAAAGACACAATATCCGGGAACTTCTAGGCAGGATTTCCAAGGACATGCGCGATCGCCTTTTGCCAGTAGTTTATTCCAAGGTTCATCTAATTTGCAATACCATCAGCCGGCTCAACAACAACAATTACCCTCTCAACATGTGACCAACTTTTTCAGTACTTCCGTGCAACGTCATCAACAGCAGAATCAACATACACAGTACTCACAACAACAACAACAACAACAAAATTATCAACAAAAATCCCAATCTCAAATAAAGTTGCCATATAGCTCTCAGCTATCTTCTCAGAGTACTAATTATCATCAGCAACAGCAACCCCAACAACAACAACAACAACTTAGAAAACCTTTGAGTCAAATACAGCAGCACATAAACCAACAGTTGCAACAACAATCCCAATATTATGTCAATCACAAACAGTTGTATCAAACACAGCAACAACCACACCAAAATTCTGAACCGAATCAATATTACAACAATTTGCCTCAAAAACCAACGCATGTCCCTAAACAACCCATTGCTTTTCCCACAGCACCTCCGAAGAGTCAAGAGTTGCCACTTAGACAAGCCCCTCAAGCATACCAACCCATCAAATTCCGGCCAACTCCAGCTCCGATTAATACACAAAACAGACCAACGCCTATTGCAGCTAAATTAGAAAATTCCCATTACAATTCGAAGCCCTATCAGTTCCAGAAACAACCTCAGTTCGTTCAACAGCCGTCCTTTACAGTCCAATCTCCCACGATCTCATCGCCACAATTTTATAAACAACAGCAGCAGCACCACCACCACCAAGTCTTCAGCCATGCCCAAAGTTCCAACTACCAAGCCACCAATTCTAATTATTATACCCAAAATAAGAACCATCCATCCCAAGCGTCCATTCAACAACAGCCACAAGTATCTAAATACCAAGCACAGAGCCCTTCTGCCGGCTCTTCTTCAAATTTGAGTTGGTTGAATATCAAACCATCCAAAGAAACAGAACTTTTCAAATCCATTCCCAAATTTGAGCAGCATATTACCGAAACAATTCAGAATAATTACCAACCTAGTTCTTACCAAACACAAAATCAAGTCATTCACGACATTCCAGCGCCCAATTTGGGACCTCACAATGTCAATAACAACAACTACAACGGTCAATATCAATCCCAGAGCCAGCCTCAATCTCAGGGACAGTCCCAATTCAGCAATTTTGTGACCACATCGAGCAACTCGGTTAATCAGCATCAGTTGGCTGCCACTACACCGGCTCCTCATTTTGTAGAATCAAATAATGGTCAGAAAATCATGGTAGTCACCCCCATGCCACCCAATGTTTACCAACAGTATCAATCTGCGCACTATCCCACCTCTCAAGACAGCCAAGCCCAAATCGTAACGAGTGTTCATCAATCTCAGGATCAATATAGTAATTATTTCCAACAGCCCCGACAAAGTTCGGGATCGGTTCAGGCTCAAACTGAAAGTACCAAGGATGGATCATCTTCCTCAGTAAACTCCAAATTTAGCGTATCCACCTACCATTCAGATGTGTTCAAGGAGCTGGAACAACGTAAACCGCAAGATGGTCAAGCATCGCAGAATACCTACATACCAGCCAATGAGGCATCCAAATCCGCCGCCGAGCAAACATCAACAACCACAACCCCTAACCCCAAGCTATTGCAACAACTACCCGCCGAGGTGCCTGATGATTTGAGACAACAGTTGATTTCTTCAGGCATATTGAGCAATGCCGACATTTCAATATTAGATTACGACAAAGAAGGAGACATTGCCTTGGAAAACTTGCCGGCCGAACATTTACAACATTTCTATGGGGCCGGTGGCGGAGCTCAAATTTCCGAATCCAAGAAGGTCCTATCCGTGTTGAAACCTAATGGCGATAAAGTCTCCCTTGATGCAAAAGAAATACAACGTGTTAAGGAGATAAGTTCCCTGCCAAACAATGTGCAAGCTGATGCCAAAATCGTACGATTTGATCCGTCTGAAACTGAGACAGGGGGCTCCACCGGCTCAGCTGAACGCCAATACAACAGATATCTGCCTTTGAAAATAAATGCTGCAAATTTTCCCACTCCGGTTTCCGAGGAACTCAAGACAAAAACCTTGTTGAGTGTTGTAGTTTTAGCTCCAGTCGATAGCCCGGTCGGCGCTGATGGTTCTCTGGTGGATGATACGAAGGAAGTGAAATTCCTCGGCGGAGATTTAATAAAGACATTGGTAAAGAAGCCAACCAAAGAAAATTTCAAGAGATGGCTCGAAAAGGAATCCCGCACAGATGTCGAACAACAGTCCGTGGTTTTACTTGTGGCCAAGTAAGTATTTTTGTGATAATCACTTCCCAAACATTCCGCTAAATATTACATGTCATTTTCGAATGTAGGCCAGCCAACACGTCGTCTGAACAAGAGATATACATGTACGACATAAGCACGGGCGAAGTAAACAAGCTGAATGGCGAATTATCCAGTAAATTTGTCAATGTTGCTGAAGAAAACGCCAGCGCCGAAGATTTGGAACGAGGCTCCACATTAGATCCCAACTTCCTGGATGCAGTGATGCAAAAGTCCACCAGCTAAACTATTTCGACTTTTAATAGAACCGAGTCAGAAGATGATGTGTCTGTCAATCTATCACAAAGAAAGTGCCACAAATTACCAACATTCTTAGAAGCGCCATGTTATCCTTCTCGTTTAAGCAAGTGTCTCCTACCTTAACGCCTTTCACTCACAACCCTCCTCCCTCCCTCCGCATATTAAAAACGGTGTCTCTGTATAAAATTGTGGTTAGAATGCTAAATGTTGCTTTGAACAGTTTTATAAACACCAGCAATTTGTTTAACATATGTATGTATGTATGTATGTATGTATGTGGTGTAAATAACAAATTCGACAGTTTTCTACACAAATTTATTAGCCAAAAACAGTGAAAAAACATATATCTGTAAATGCAGTTTTGTTGTATATATTTTCAGCTTCAAAAAAAAAAAAAAAAGGAACACACAATTCAAATGCAAAAACCAATCAATCAAAGTCTCTTGGGACGCCCTACTATTACGCCATGATTGAACACGGCTAATTTTGTTCTGCACTCATATTGATGTAAATTTGGTATATTTGCTTACAAGGTTAAGGTACTGAATTGCGACCCCAATGTTTTTGAAGCTGAGAATACATACAATAAAGTAACATGTGCTAATCTTCCAAGGCTTTTGGCAATAGCATGAAATTATATAGTTTTGTTTTCGACCATTAAAATTCTTCCATTGACTGTCAGTGTGTTTTTAAAACTGTTTGTCAAGCTGTAAACTGTTAGATAATTGTTATTAAACTATTTTATTAAATGATTTTGTAAATATTGATATGGTTGTTTTTGAAAAAAAAAAAAACAAACGTTTTATTGTCTCAACTTACAACTTGATTTGTTTAGTGAATAAATTTTTTATAAAATATGAAGTATTTTAAAGTTGCACTTATTTTTGGGAAATTTGCAGCGGTCGATATTTAAAAAAGATAGATAATCCTATTCTGTTTAGTACACCTTTGCAGGTTGTGGAACAGCAAATATTCCTATGTAATAATTTGCCGCAATGAAGTTGTGTCTAAATTGAAAGCAATTTAGAGATAACGAATGGGTGGAAATAATTTGCAACTTTTGGTATTTTGTGACAAAGTGTTGAGTTCATATGCTTAACCCGTATCCAGAACGTTGATTTCGATTGTTATTTTAAATAAATCAAAAGGATGTTGTTATATGTTGCGAATTGTGTTGAAGTTATTGCGGTAAAATCTTATATGCAAACATGCATTTGTTTGCTCAATCTGAAATTAAAAAAATATTCATCTGACTTTTTACTCTTTATGCGAAATTTTCATTTTCTATTTTCAGATAACAAGACCTACTTACGGAACCTTTGTAGCAAGGTCCATATAAGTTCGGTCAAGAGTCCGATGACCTGGATCAGCTTAGAAATTTTCTGTCATAGACTGTAAAAGAAAAGATCCAATATCTAGGGTACCATTATATGGGGCTTATGCAATATCGTGGACCGATATAGTCCATCTTCGATATAGGCCTGCCTGTGGACAAAAGACTAATCGTTCAACATTTTAGCTTCCTATCTTTATTCGTTTCGACTCTAGCGATGACGATCTCAATACATCTTCCATACTATCTACTATCGTGATTTCAAATCCCAATTATGTCTTTTGACACCAAAATTTGTTCTCAGATGTGCTGCTTACTGGCCGACCTTATATTGGCCATGCTTTGTACTATTGGTATGCCAAATCAGGAATAACTGAAATTCGAAAGATGTCAAAGCTGTTGTTTGTGATTTGCCGGCGAACAAGAACACAAAAGTTAAAGTTTTCATTACTCATCCCAGTAAATGGTCAAATTTACATCTATTACCAAGAACGCAAATCAAGAGGTACAGCTTCTTGGGGGCTATACAAAAAAAAAAAAAATGGATCCAGATGGAATAATGTTGGCATGAGAATCCAAAAGGTCAAATTAAATATTCTCCCTCAAATAATTCAGAATCAACTTCACTATTGAAAAACTGTATAATTTCCTTAGAAGCTTCAAAATTTCGGAAACGAATTGAATCATTTATAATGCAGTTTTTAGAGAGTATATTATGGGAAAAGTTCGTTCCACACGGACGTTACTTGTCGAAATAGATTGCATATGTGTCTTGACCTTGCAGCTTTTTCATATAAAACGCATCACACCAAAATGACTCAAATCATTTCTACTACCGTCAAAGAATAATCTTTTCAACTTTACGAATGGTATTGGTTCTGAGAATGAGAACCATTGAATTTAGATTGGATTGGTCTAGTGCAACATTTCCCAAAGTATCGAGAAAGTATTGTCAGAGCCCCGTAATTTGCGTCTAATAAAACCCTTCCTTAGCTTCACGCAACCGAAAGTGCAAATACCTCTTAAAATCTACGCCCAACATTCGAAGAGAAAGAAGAACATTTCAGTTCCGCTGAGTCTTATATAAATTGAAAAGGGTTGTTATTGTTCTGTTAATTAATATTTTTATATTTTGGGTTAGGGTGGTGGCAAAAGTAGTGCACCGACATATAACATATTAACATTCGGTCTATGGTGGATAGATGCAAAAAGTTTGAAGAAAATCGCAGACATATGAGAGAGGTACCAGAAAGTATGGACCGATGACTTCCTTATTCAAACTATATTTAATGTAGGTGAAAGTATGGTGTTGAATCGAATAATTATTTTTAATTTTATGAAATTTTAGCTATTTAAAATTTCTATCCCTGGTCGAGAGGCATCAGAAAGAGTGGGAGGAAAACACACATATTCACATCAGATATCGGGTATAGTGAAACCTGGAGAAATACTTAGTTTATAGTTAATTTTGGTCCTTTTTTGTGGAGGTATTTGAAGTAGTGCTCCGTTATATCGCATCTTCCCACCCGATATCGTGTTTGCAGATGTGTTGGGATGCGCGAATTTCGAATATTATGAACGTATAATTATTCAATATATTGACCTTTGTGGGGGAGATATCGAAAGGAATGGATTGATAGTGTCCATCTCCGAACTTGATCGAAGAAAGTAGATACCATATTGTTTTTGTTTTCATTCTTTTCATTCCTCTAATGTTGCTATTTTTACACCAGTAAAAGAGAATTAAACTACCTTACTCTATCTGAAAGATGTTGCTGGACAATTCCTGCAGGAAAAGTAACCAGACACACCTAAAATTTTATGACTAAATTTGCCATGGAATTGAAGTATTGAAAAGTTTGGATCATGTTCATGAAAGAAAATCCAGGCATTTCATTAATTTTTCGGTAACTCATTTTAAAAGTGAGGCAAAATATTAAATAAATGAGAACAACTTGTGAATGATTCTGACAGAAAGCGGACATAGCCTTAAGTGCCCAGTAGACGGCCAAATGCATGAAGCTTTCAGCGTACACGGTTCATGCATTCATTTTGCTTTTGATTTCGTCTTGTGCAGACAGTGTCGATAACGGACGATATAATTTTGGAGATATTGGCAGTGTGCTTAAAAAAGAAAGAAAATGATAACAGTGAGAGAAATAAAGGATCTGGATGGAAGAGTGGTACAAAAAAGGAAATTAATTCACTCATGAACATTTATTAGTAGAATTAAGACTGTTGTCGGTAAACGATTTTGGAAAATTACTAAGAATGAAGAGTTCCACTTACGAGAAATCAGCATCAATACTTCAAATTAATTTACTTTAATAAACCGATTAATATATTTTCATATTTAACATCTAAAAGTGCTGCCAACGACAAGTAAACTTCCAACAACTCAAAAACATGGTACATCTCAATATTTCCATCAACACAAGATCTGTTATAAAGATGGTAGAGATTAGACCATTTCTTCCGGAAACACACCCCCCCCCCAAAAAAAAAAAGGGTCAAAGTTTTGAAAACAAACGCTCAAAGTAAGCGAAATAAGCATCAAGCTCTCTTCAAACTTCACACATCCAAACGTTTTTGCTAACGCATTACCTGTACCTAACCCAAAAAGAGTCAAAATCTTCAATACTTTGAACAATTTTCAATAAACAAGTCTGCGATTCGTTACAACTTGCTATATCTAAATATTTCTCTTTATCAGAAACCTGAGATGAATATGGAATTTAATTTCGCATTAAATTGGATACAAAAGTTCGATTTTCTTGTAATTTTGCACATTTCATTTATCTGTATTAGATGAAGTATGAAAATAGAATACTTCCAAAAATGTGCACATATCTCCAATAAAGCTTAGGAAGTAGTCGCTATCTATAGTCTAAATCTGGCACCTTGTAATATTTATATCAGTCTTAGGTCAATATTGGCCAAATTCTTCGGAACCTCTCCCATAAATGGTCAACAGTTTGAATAATCATAACCCAAGGCTGGGGGTATACATCTGTCGGCATAACCGACTGATACTATTTTACTTGTAAAACTTTATTTCTGACCGCAAACCTCAGCTCGCCACCGAATTTGTGCCACTTGGCCACTGCTTTAATGTCCAATTTGACCAAACAATAACGTAAAATGTAATTTCGGCGGATAACGGCGCAGATAGCATACATATGTACGCAGCTAAGGACACAGATACAATCAGTCCAATGTTGATACAACTATTTAGTTTTGTTGACACCACCTTTAATTATTCATACAGAGGAGCATGCCATGTGGCTGTGTACGTTTGCATTGGCACTCGTAGTACGGAAACAGGAATAACTTGATACTGTTTGTTTCAGCGCTTATTATAATTCCCGATGACAAGCGTAGATAGAAGGTGTGCTCAATTTAATTAATTTTATATCTGGGTAAATATTGGAACAAATAAAAGGAAGAACGGTCACGTGACGTACAACCCTTCGTTAGGCAACACCTATGTATGTGCATATGTGTGTTTATACATTACCAGCACACTCTGGGAATGCACTTCTGCCCCGACACCCTTGCACCTGTTGAGTTCGATAGGGCGCATGCCATTGTACCATTTTTAATGGGATACTAATTGGGTGCCAGCGTTTCGCAGTCGGTCAGAACTGATTAGTTCATCGGATGCCAACGACATGACAACCTCGGCAGAAATGGCTTCAAGAAAATTTTACGAATATTTGCTCAAAGTGCGTGCCTACTTTCTGGGTAATTTCAGCAGCTCGGAATTGGGATATGTAGTTTTTCCGTTTTTAAAAATATTCAAACTCTTTGGATTCATGCCGATTCGCTTGGATCAAAGCTACCTGTTCAATGAGCGCTCAAAAATGGTATGGGATCTATGGGCGATACTGTGGTCCTTCCTCGGAAGTGTAATCTATGTGGGTAAGTGTGTGAGTTTGATTGGTTGGGTTTGATTTTGTTGTTCTTGGACACAAGAGCAGGTGCGGGCCGGAGCCCACACTTGCTACAGCCATATGCATATGGCTGCTGCTGCCCAACCTGTAACCGTGATTTCGATTCCACTTTTCCGTGGTTCTTCGACATTACATTTCGTTGCAAGATGCGTCGACGTAGACGTACTTCTATGTAGCCCCTTACCGTTATATGAGGGTTATATCAAGACGTCGTGTAGTTTGAAGTTTTGGTGTGACTTGCTGAGGAAGGATATAAGATGTCAGAATAGTAACTCTGAATTTGCTTGTCTCTTTCTACTACCAGGTGGTTTTGTTATGGGAGTTTGCCATATCGCATCGTCCAAAGGCATTGAACGGTTACATGAATACATCGTCATAGCCTATTTCACTACATGGGGCCAACTTCTGTCGCTGTTTATACTGGGTGGGTTTGGCGTCCTGCATAATTGGTTAAATATGCAACAGCTACAATTACTCTTAAGCCGGATTGCGAGAATCGATGAGCAATTGGACCGGGCGACGGGCCGGGCCGTGAACTACGCCTGCATGCGGAAAAAGCTCTTGATGCAGTTTGTTGTGGTGTTCGTGTTAACTGCCTCGATGTCGATGATCAACTGCATCATCATCTATTCGGACTCAGACAACTTGATCTTCAGTTCGAGTTGTTTCTGGTTTGTGTGTTTCTTCCCGATATTGTTGCTGACATTCAAGGAATTTCAGTTCTACAATATGATTTTTCTTGTCAAATCGAAATTTGAAATAATCAATGAGGAACTGACTCGATATGGCAGTAACAGCCAGTCGCAGCGAGACCGAATGCCGAATGATCTGCTTGAAATATTTCCGAAGTCGAAGTGCTCTGAAGATGATTTGAAGCAACTTTTGCATATTTACGTCAACTTATCTGATTGTGTGGACCTGCTGTTGCGGATTTTCGCTTGGCATCTGGTTTCATTAACCAGCGTCTCGTTTGGAGTCATAACCATCCAGGGCTACAACTTGTTTGCTGCTCTAATAGTCCGAGTTCTTCACATGAGTAGTTATCACTTGACCGTGACAATTGGCTGGATATTCCTACAAATTGGAGTTATTTGTATCAATGTTAGTGTTTGCAGTGCAACGGACAGAGCGGTAGGTCAACTTCCACACACACACGCACACACACACACACATGTACACACATATATATGTATTTACAATATTTTTTAACAAACATATTCTTGTTTTAACACCAAGATGTCTTTGACGGGGCCGCTGCTGCACAGAATAACTGCATCTAACAATAGCGTCGATCTTGCATTTAATCAAATAATTCAGATATTCTCTATGGAAGTGGTGCAGCGAAGGAACAGCTTTACTGCAGCTGGCTTCTTCAATATGGACTATAAGTTGATAACCTCGGTAAGTGACACAATACCAATGCCAGTCAAAAGGCCATAGTACTTAAATACTTTTTACAGATTATCGCCGCTGTGACTACATACTTGTTAATAATAATACAATTCCACACCAGCATGGGAAATCCGATAGTTCCGAGCGTTTAAAGTCAATATATCAACTAGTCACCAACGCAGCCAGTCCCAAAATCGCAATCGCAATCGAATTAACCTTACAAACAATGGCTAAAATAGTGCCCTGAGAGCGTCAGCTGTTGGGCGTTTTTATCGTCTAGTGCAGGAAGTGCATTTTCAAGCAAATAGCGTACAATTAATATTAGATAGAAAACAGCCACGATAATGTGCTTATGCGCCAACATGGCCTAACCATTTAATATTGAACTACTGTAGTACGAAAATGTCTCGAACTGTTCTGAATATATAACAATTGTAAACATGTACACATGTTGAAAGAAAGTGGGTGAGGAAGGAAAATATCAATTCTATGTGTATAAAAATAAATAAATAAATAAATAAATAAATAAATAATGTGAAAAATGCGCATGCATCTGTGTGTTTTCTTTTCATTCAATTTCATACGACATATATACGGGCAAAGCAATATAAGTGATCGAATTCTGGCCTTTAATAATAGTTGACAATCTTATTAATGAGCTAAGACAACAGCAATTGTCGTTGTATGCATATGAGAGAGTAGTGAAATGACTGAATGACTGACCGACCAAGAATCAATGACCAGACCAAACGGCTAAAGAATCTTGAATTTTTTCACGAGGATCAGTCTTAGTGTGTACGAAAAGTACTAAGGATATGCGTTTCAAAGGGGTTTTGTACTAAATTTGGTATTGGGTGAAGGGTCCCGGAATTTGATATTTAGGTCTCTGTTGTTATCTGGAATTGGTTTCGGAAATGCTTACTATGATTGTTCGAAAAAATTTGCCATTGAGTGAATGAATAGGGCTTGAATCCTGAAATTTGATATTGAGGTCACCGTTTAGATTTTGTGGTGGGCATTTTTTTTATTGTGAAAAGAGGCTGAGATAGTTTTGGTCCTTTGGCAAGGGTTTAACCAATATGCTCTAAAAATAATAAATACTTTAAAATATTATTAACTAGCTGGCCCGCTCCGCGTTGCCGGCCCGCACTTTTAGTCTTTAATGCATATTTTTTAAAAGCATGATGATTGCCAGATCTGGCTGGCACAGTGGCACAGTTTTTATTATAAATAATGACTCGACAAAAAATGTCAGTACATGTTCACGTACCGGTCGATTTAAAGTGTTATAAAAGACTTGATCCTATTTTTAGCCATAGGCTTTAATTTGAGTGTTAGAAACATAAATTATTTAGCACATCTATTAAAAAATGTATATCAATTGTTTATAATAAGCCCATGTCTGTTTGCCCGCTGTGGTACTGTTTCATGGGCCATACCAAAATATGTACCTATGTTGAATTTTTTTCTGCATTTTTTTAAACCCAAACTAGTCTTAATATACAGTTTAAGCCAAATCGATTGGAAAATGTAATGGAGACCGTCGAAATAGGTAAAATCAGAAGGTACCTTTATATGGGCACTACTTTGGAAATAGCTGAAATTAGGGGATACCTTCATATGATGTTAATACCAAAACAATGACAATATAATTATAATTTTTTTGAAATTATGTTCATTTTTCTAAAAACTCAAATTACTAAATTATGCCGAACTTTGTTTGAAAATTTAAAAAAAAATTGAAATCGGCATATACCCTTATATGGGGGATGTGCCAAAATGTAGACCGACATGACAAATGATTCTACATGTAACCCATAGGACTGTATCAAATTTAAAACTCTATCGTAAACTTTGTAAAGTAGATTTAAAGTCCTTTGTGTGTGATTAAGGCAGTATAATGTACCTAAGTCGCCGGTACCGGCGATTTAAATATCTTAAAGGTTTCGTGATAATTTTCAGAGGATATGAATCCTATTCTTACTAAATTTTCAGTTCGCTCACCATTTTGTATAGTCCGCATATAGCAGTCCCTGTTTATATCGGTATTTCACTGAATTTCCCATTGGTCCATATTTTGATATGAGCCCCATACAGCTGTGCCAGCCATTTTTATACCCTCCAACTTGGAAAGGAGGGTATATTAACTTTGTCATTCCGTTTGTAACATCCTTAAATATTCGTCGTAGACCCCATAAAGTATATATATTCATAATCAGCATAAAATTCTAGGTCGATTTAACGATGTCCGTCTATCTGTCTGTTGAAATCACGATACAACCCACATTATTTGACGTAGCAGAGCAATTTGTATTGTGTCTTGGATGGTTGGTATTGAAAATGAGATATATCGGTCCACGTTCTGGTATAGCCCCCATATAAAGGTACCTCCCAATATTCGGTATTTTGGTGATTTTTGACACATTTTTTCACGAATTTCTCTGAAAATTGGTAGATGTAGATCATAATGGGTCCCAGTTCGTGTGGCGAGTCATTGAAATTATAGGTCCACGTTTTGGTATAGCCCCCATATAATGGTACCTCCCGATATTCGGTAATTTGATGATTTTTGCCACATTTTTTCACGGATTTGTCCGAAAATTGGTATTTTTAGGTCATAATGGGTTCTAGCTCCTTTGGCGAAACATCGCATGTGTAGGTCCACGATTTGGTATAGCCCCCATATAACGGCCCCATATAACGGCATTTTAATGGTTTTTGCCACATTTCTTCTAATGTTTCCTTTACCCTAAGGTGAAGGGTATTAAAAGTTTGGCCCGGCCGAAACTGGAATTGGCATCTAGCAATTCCAGTCTGGAAGATCGCCATTTAACATCGTATTGTGCACGAACTTCATTTTCTTCATTTTACATTCAGAATTCAAGACAAAAAATAAAAAAGGTACTGTTCAATGTAGCATGTCAACTTGAAAAAATCTCATGCAATTCAAGAATAAGAGTGTGTGTCACATAGACAGTTTTTATTAACATTTTTGACGCGATTTTTTGGATTTGTTTGTAAATACCAGTCCATAAACGAAAAACAAAAAATCGAGTCAATTCAATAAAGTTAATCAAATTGAAAAACCAACCGTTCGTACCATGGTAATATTGATTTTTTTGTTCATAGCTTATTATCTTCCTAATAAAAACATAATAGTTTTGTCACTTTTCGCTTTATACTCCCAAAAAAAAAAACTACACATCATAAATTCCAAAAAAGGACAAATATACATTTGATGTCAAATGTCAAAATGGAAAAAATCATGAAATATAAAACATAACAATTGTACATTTCAAAAGTCAAAGTGAACATTCACAAAGTTCAAATTTTTTCACGATTTTTTTTGCATTTTATCCTTTTCCAAGATATAATTTTATTCGAGAGACAATTCCGAATTTGTCTGAATCGTTAAAAACAGATCATCGGTTCTTGAGTTATAAGCGTAGTAACTAACACAACTTTCTTTTATCTTCTTCTTCTATATCTATAAAAGAGGAAAATGTTTGTACGTTTGTTTGTTTGTTTGTTTGTTTGTTTGTAATTTATGGACTCGAAAACTGCTGAATAGATTTTTCTGAAAATTTCCATATATACTGCAACATTGCCTGAAAGTAACATAGGCTATATACATTTTTGAATTTCCACTTGGAACTGGAGATATAGCATCAGAATCGGAGGTACCTCCCAAAAATTTAGATTTTATATGCACATATCTATTGATCGGTTAAAGATACAGTCTCCAAATTTGGAATGTGTAACGGAATTTGGAACAAAAATAAGTTTGCTAAATTATATTGTAATCGGTTCAGATTTGGATATAGCTCCCATATATATTTTCGACCGATTTCGTTCATTTGATGCCTCAAACACAATATGAATGTTCGATTCCAATGAAATTTGGAATATGTGACGGGATTTGATCCGAAAATAAATTTGTCAAATTATATTGAAATCGGGTCAGATTTGGATATAGCTCCCATATATATTTTCGGCCGATTTCAAGCATTTGATGCACCAAACACGCTATGTATCCCCAATTTCAATGAAATTTGAAACGTGTGATAGGTTTTATCTAAAAAAATTTATTTCCCAAATTATATTGAAATCGGTTCAGATTTGGATATAGCTCCCATATATATTTTCGGCCGATTTCATGTATTTGGTGGACCAAATAAGATATGTATGTCCAAATTTAATGAAATTTAAAATAAGTAACGGAATCGGGAGCAAAAATGAATTTTTCAAATTATATTGAAATCGGTTCAGATTTGGATATAGCTCCCATATATATTTTCGACCGATTTCATGTATTTGATGCACCAAACACGCTATGTATCTCTAATTTCAATGAAATTTGGAATCTGTAGGGGAAATTAAAACGAATATACATTTGTCAAATTATAGTAAAATCGGTTGGATATAGCTCTCATATATATTTTCGACCGATTTCATGTATTTTATGCACCATGCACGATATGTATGTTCGATTCCAAAGAAATTTGGAATATGTAACGGGATTTTGATTAGAAAATAAATTAGTCAAATTATATTAAAATCGGTTCAGATTTGGATATAGCTCCCATATATATTTTCCGCCGATTTCACATATTTGATGCACAAAACACGATACGTATTTCCGATTCCAATGAAATTCGGCATGAGTGGCTAAATTTGGTACAAAAATAAATTTGACAAATTATATTCAAATACGCTCAGATTTAATTATAGCTCCCATATATATACTCAGCCGATTTCACATATTTGATGCACCCAAAGCGAGAAAGACGAAATCTGGCACCAGAAAAAATTGCCAAATTTTATTGAAATCAGTTGAGGTTTGGGTATAGCTAACATATGTGTGGTTACAATAATAAATGTGACAAATTAATTGGAAATTAGTTAAGATTTGGATATAGCTCCCATATATATATTCTCCTCCGATTTCACGTATTTGACGCACCAATTTCAATGAAATATGAAAGATGTGGCGGAATTTGGTGTAAAAGTAATTTTTTTAAAATTATATTTAAATCGGATCAGATTGGGATATGATTTTAATAAGAACCATTGACCCACAACGCCTTAGGCTAACACTAAAAAACAACACAACAATTAATTTGAAATACGCTTATTACGGCGAAGTATGTTGCTATCTCGAATTCATTAATTGCAACAGAAATGTCACTCAACTTCAAAAGATTGCAGTTTACTGCACGCTTGGTATTTGCTATGAAATAAATAAATCCGAAGGACAAACCCTTCGTGTATGTATGTCATGTTACTGTTTTTCTAATGATTTTGTATATTTACGCATTAAAGTAGTGCAATAATTTTTTTTTAATTATAAAATTTGTTTTTTTTTTTAACCAACATATATTCGTAAATAAAATTTTGAATGCATATAAAATCAAAAGGGATAGCGAAGCGCACCGGGTTCAGCTAGTATATATATATATATGCTGAAAAACTGAAGAAGCGAAAACTTCTGGTACACTTACTTGCATTATATAATAGCATACTTATTTGGTTACAGGCGCCAAATTGAACTATGTGCAGTTTTCGGCAAAACTGCCAAATTTTCGGCATTCGTACTGCAATTGCTGGTGCAATTTTTACCTCCACTGTATGGCTAAACAACCAGAGCAGCTTACTTAGCCGAGTTGAGATCACTACCGTAGCCAGTAGATTCAGAAGACCAGCTTTGCCAACCCCCGTTTTACTTGTTGTATACAACGATAACAACAACAACAACACCACCACCAGCGACTATGGAGGTTTGGCGCTTGGCCATATGGTTTTAATGCTGTTTCGAGCAACATTTTGAGATCGCTTTACCAGTTGATTTCGAGACTTGCGTGCAGGCGGACGTGTGCGGATTGATGTGGTGCTCGGGTCCAGAGAGTGGTGCGACAAAACAACAAAAACACACACGCAGTTACCCGAACTGAGCAATGTGTTTGTAGTAACATTGTTGTTTTTTACTTTAAGCTGCTCTGCGACAGCAATGATGAAATAAGAAACGCCATTCGTATTCGAGACGGTCGACGTGATGATGAGAATGTGCATAAAATTAAAACACGTCGAAATCATTTTACAGAACTTATTGAAAGCGGGCCAAGTGAGAGTGTGCGTTCAAAAGTGTTTTTGGTCGTGACATCGTGTAGTGCTTCGCCTATTTCTCTTTCCAACTTTATCGGCAATTGAGCTGACCTAACCCGTGAGTGTGTGCCACTTGAGGAAGTTAAAGTTCGCTGAGTAATTTTAAATAAAAAATTGGAAGCCGTAACCAAAAATGTCGCTTGCTACGTTTATGTCTCACTAATTTCAAATACACAAACATACATTCATATGCAATATACGGAACGAGAGGAAAACGTCCTATTCGATCTTAAACCAGCCTTGAGGAGAAACTTCCAAATGGTTACAAATATGGCAAGCAGCGACAATTGCATGTGTCGCAGCAGCCACCCCATTCCCACCAATAGCGAAAACAATGGCTCCAAGTATACCAAAAAAGCAACCAAAATGTACGGTCATGCGAAGAGCAGATACAGACCTTACTCCCACAACAAACGCCCAACCGAATTTATGTTAAGGCTGATAGTCGGTATTTGGTGTTTATTCAGCTGTGTTACCCCTATACCGGGTGCTGCGGTCTACACAAGTACGCCGACAAGACCAGGTGAGCCTTTGAGCACAGGTAAATCGGAAAAGAAATGCACTGACATGACCTGACAACAGCTACAGAAATATTTGCACGAGAAGTCCTCATCAATTTCTGATTACAAATTGACATTTGCCTCCGCCGGCCTCGAGGCCAATTGAATTTCTGCGAGAGTCAATTGCTGCTGGCTGTAAATCATTTGATTGTAATAATAACAACCGAGCAAAGCAGAAAACAGGTTTCGCCAGTGACCGCAATTGACCGTTAGTTAACTAGCAAATTTCATTTACGAACGACAAATGGCCCCATATTCGACGTACTTACATTAGGTGTGTTTGATAACTCTGTAATTCTTAGCAATTTGCAGCAAATGCAACTGGATGCTGTTCGATAAGTTAAAGGTTCTGTTAATGAGAACGAGTGGAGAGGGTATTATTAAGAGTTGAGTGACTGAGAGCTCGCAAATTCATACAATTTGAGGACCCAATGTTTTCTTGCTGGATTTACTTGAATATCGTTCGTTAGCTTCTTGTAATGTTTGTATTATGGGAGAGAGAGAGAGAGGAAGGGAGTAAATTCCCTCGGCAGAAGTTACCGAACAAGTTTTACTGCAACAGTTATCATGCATACCTGTTGTATGCATATATGACTGTGTGCATCTCATTATCGTGAGTATTTTCGTGAACACGCGTTTTTACTTAAAACAAATAGTCCAGCTGCAGGATTCGGGCAACAGAAGTAACACAATAAAGCTAATAGGGCATTTACATAACATTTTTATTCCACATTATCAGAATTTATAGTTTACTCATTTTATCATGGTTGGATACTCCTGTACGGAATCTACCAACATTTCAAAGCAAAAGTGAATTAATGGCTTTTTTCAACATTTTTTATTTAAAATACTTACTCCAAATGAACATGCATTTTTACATCGCCGCCTTTCCATCTTTTGTGCACATTAAAAACTACAGTCTAGTCTTAAAACTACAAACTGAAACGGTGCCTCGGAGAATAAACCATTAGAAGGGAACCCCGCAAACATTCCCATTTGACATGGAATTGTCTGTGCTCTCAGTTTGCTTACTATTTTTGAACTATCGGTTATAAATGCGTTTGGTGCGCCGTGTGGTGTGGCTTGGTGTTGGACACATAATGCGTAAGGTGCTAATGAGACGAATCAAGCAGATCCTAAACAGATCTGCTTTTTCTAGAGCTGATCTAGTTTTTGCCACAGGTGTGAATTACTGACTGCGTTTAGACTATGTTTCAGTGTGAGACGAGTTTACTTTAATACAGATTGAAAGTACATATAGAGCTATTGCCGCAAACAATGAAACACGCCATTGAGTTCTTCAATTTCATCCGAATCGGATTAGGGAAGTTAAGAGGTATCAAAAGCTAGAAGCAAGTTAAGAAGAGAACAATAAAAAGCATCGTGGGTACTGTTGGGTGATGTAAATCAGGACTTCTGGAAATCAATTCGGAAGAAGAGATCAATAAAAAGCGTCGTGGGTACTGTTGGGTGATGTAAATCAGGACTTCTGGCAATCCATTCGGAAGAAGAGATCAATAAAAAGCGTCGTGGGTAATGTTGGGTGATGTATGGACTTCTGGCAATCCATTCGGAACAAACCAATAAATTTGAAATATAATATGCCAAACTTAACACAATTTTACCTGGCGTTTACACAATACATGTCGATGATGAATTTCCGAGAGATAAAAAATGTGTACTGTTTCTATACCAGTGTTTTCCAAAGTATATGTCACGATCCAATGGTGGGACGCAACTAAATACTGTGTGGGGCCCGAAATTCGGGACGGTTTAGAACCTTCTTTAACTGCGTAGAACCGAAAGTGCGAATACTACCTCAGTGTTTTTAAAAATTCTGTCCCCGACATTCCACCTACAGTAGGCACGCCCCCCTTATTTTACTTGCAGGACTGAAAGAACTGTGTCTTTAAAAAATGCATCTGCTTTTGTTAACTCATTGTAATCTTTGTGAACACAGAGGAGCACTGGTTCCAAAAGCATTACCCGATGCGACTAAAAGTTAGTAATATTGAATTTGATGCTAACTGTACAATTACAAAAATAGAAAAGAAATTATTCTGTTGAAATATATAGTTAACATCACCATTGCGGCGGTATTTTTCAACGGATTTTTTTGAATTTTTTGAATTCCTTCCAAATGGTGGGGAGTATACAAAGTTCTGGCCGGGAGAACTTACTGCCTTTTTACTTGTTTTACTGATAATTTAACACGTTTCCAATCAAAGTCAGAATCTCCTTTTATTCTTCATTTTTGTAAGGAACTAAATATAATATCTTCCAATTAATTTTCTTAAAAACTATTGTACCTGAAAACATAGTTCATTCTGATATTTACGGTGAAATGTGTAAAATATTTCTTTTTTTTTCTACACTTTCTGCCAAAAACCAAATTTTATGCTTTTTTTTCTGGCGTCAAGTCACAAAAGGCCGAGGCAAAATTATTCAAAAACAAGTAAGCAAAGGCTACAGTCGAGCGGGGCCGACAGTTGAATACCCTACAACACTATAATAAACGATACAGTTTATATAGGCGAGATACTCGAAAGAATTCCACAAGATATTGTGACAAATAATAAAAGATTTTTCTATTTCTCTAATTTTCGAATAATAGCAACTTTAACTAATTTGCTAATTTCCAATTTATTGGAAGATGTTGCACTTAAATGGTCTTCCTAGATCTGGAACCAATATTTCCCAAAGACCTATAATCTCTCAGAAGTGGCAAAAGATTAACATTTATTATTGGTTTTTGACTGAAACGCATCTATATGAGATACAGACATTTGACTATATTCTTCTACGAAATCAGCGTTAACGGAATAGTCAGAAGTGTGTTTTTCCTGTATTTGTGAATTCTCCAAAAAATCACTGGAATGGACCTTTTCGTATTTTGTCTACAAAAGTTGGCAAACTATTTCACACATTGAATATTTTTGGATGGCCATCCATAACTGCTTGGCTTTTTGCAATGCCCGTAACCCCCATTCAAATGTGGGTAAGGATCGGGCAATAATTACGACCTGCTGACAATTTTGCAGTTTTTTTGGTCCATTTCAACCCCTAAATATATGGCGACCATGTCCAAAAAGAGTAGGCTTCTATTCTGACCCTCATCCGATCTCCACGCAAAATTTCGTTAGGATCGGGCCATAAATGCGATCTGTATATGATATCCTGATATCCTAACTACCTAGTTTTGTTAGCTTTAGAAATATTACCAAATGTTTAATTCAAAATGAAAATATGCAAAAAATGTGACAAAATTGAAAAAATATGAGAAAATGTTTCAAAATCAATATTTTCATCTTTAGAGAGATATTTTTATGCGATTTTTTAGACGTTGTTTCTTTCCTGCCAAGAGGCCATTCTGAATTAATGAGAACTGTCGAAATCAGTTCAGCCGTTCTCGACATATAAGAGATCTTTCAAGCATATCTTCTTTGATAGACATATATATCGCACATATTTTGCTATATATCCGTTTTGTTGGATGTTAACATCAATGTAAAGATCAGGAGTAACCTTGTCATGGCTTTGTGATTTCGCCGGGATTTAAAATATTCGCGATTTAATGAAAATTTTTGAATTTTTTCAACACAAAAGATATGGTCTATTTTACCCGCTAAATATTATCCGATGACCACCCAAAGTGGTAGGCTTCTTCCCCGCGCTAAACTCTAGCTACATGCGAAGTTCCGCGTCGATTGGTCTATAATTGCTTCCTGTATAGCTACTGCAAAATCCGACATTTTTTCAGTTTTTGGTCCATTTCGAACCCTAAATATTATGCGATCATCTCCAAAGGAAATAGGGTTCTATTATGACCCTAGCCCCACCTCCATTCTAAATTTCGTGAAGATCGGGCCAAAATTGCGACCTGTAGAGTGATTACAAATTAAAATGGACAGACGGACAGACGGACGGACGGACATACATAGCTAGATCGACTCAACTCGGCGAGATAGGAAGATCCATATATACTTTCCTATGTGGGAAATCAATATTTCGAGGTGTTACATAATTTTTGGCCCAATCAAACTTATAATACCCCCAACACATAGTGTTGTAGGGTATAAAAATGAAATATTTTTGCGCTTTTTGGACACATTGATGCAAATATTTTTTTTGGTATGACATGGAAATAAAGATTTGTCTTCTTTGGTGACCAGTAAAACTTGATGAATTCTTTGTTTGCATGAGTTCAAAAATAATATAATACATATGAGTTCCTGGCGTTTACGGCGTATGTCAAATGATAATTTAAAATTTTTGATTTAACCATTTTAAGGGCATTTTAAACCATATTATGAAAAAAACCCAAAAAGAACCCTTTAGTGACTCGCTTGAGGTTAAACTTTAGCCTCGTAATTACATTAGCAAAATTGCTAAAGGCACTATGTACCTAAGATCAGCAGGTTCCAATGATATTTGAAACAAGGTGGAAGTCCTATACCAATTTTTAAACCATTCCGTTCAAAAATAATATGGGTGTGTACCGTTAAATTGGGCGATAATAAAGCAAGAGTGATGAAAATACCCTCCACCATAGGGTAATGGAAACATTAGAACCAATTATGACCCACTAATACCAAATTTTAGGGGAAAATGTGGCAAAAATCATCAAAATACCGAATATCGGAAGGTATACATACACTGTTTCGCCATCAGAGCTAGAACTCATTATGATCAACGAATACCAATTTTTAGACAAATCCATGAAAAAATGTGGCAAAAATGATCAAAATACCGAATATCGTGAGATACCTTGATATGGGGCCTATACCAAAACGTGGACCTATACATGCAATGTTTCGCTACCGGCTTTCCTGCTTAAGGACTGTCTCAGAATAAAGTATGGTTCGAGGGCTTCGCGACAACTCATAAAATTGAAATAGGATCCACTTGGGGATACTTTCAGTTGTACCAACAAACAGATTTAAGAGACAATAGGTTTGCCTGTGCTCAAGGGACCCTCTGCTATATTATTTCATTTCACACACATGTTTCAACTCGTATTATATTACAGATGTCGACTTTCGATCGAACCCATCATTTGAGCCCATTTGCAAACAACAGCGGGAGCACTTTATAGAGAGCGACGGCAAGGAATCTAGTCTCATTTTGGAATTTAATAAAGCCGATTTAAGTTTCAATGAACGGTCCTGTACGAGGATATTGAGCGCCCCTCCCAACTATAGCTTTATCATTAGACTAATTTTACCAAAACTCTGGCATGCGTCTCATTATAACAGCAACAGCCATGGGCATCGTGCAACGCCCACCCAAGAGCTAGTACAAGGACGGCATGAAAGGGCTGCTGCCAATAATGATGCCGGAACATCGAATGCCACCGCATCACTGAAAATTGGCCGTCGTTGTCCTTTGAGCATTGTAAGTATGATGTATTTGTAAACTGGGTTCGGGTATCGTTTAATAGCTTTTAAGTCATTAATAGAGACGGTCCAAAAGGTACCGCAGTGTAATCAATACATGCCCTGTAAAAAGGACATATTGGCGGACATCAACATGTGTAGTATCAACTCTATATAGCCTAGCGTGTCTTTTAAGTTATAAAATTGTTGGAAGGGCTTAAATGACAGCACCTTAATCTCTTATTCCTACTGCCATAAAATATATGTGGCCAAGGCTAAAGTAACACATGGTCAGCAATTCAGTTAAAAAGAATAACTTTATACCTTGTTTTTGACGTGCTACCTAGTTTTGTTTACGCCTAACCAACAATAAAGCAATGAATTCTGCAACCGAAATAAGCATTAGCTCTGCTTTTAGCTATTGCTATATTCGCTTGAGCCGAGTGAGCAAACGATAATATATTTTTATGGTTGTGTGTTTTCAATGTATAAATTAATAAACCAGTAAAGAAAGTCCTAAAGTCGGGCGGGGCCAACTTTATGATACCCTACACCACTTTGCTAATTTAGTAGAGCTCCGCATAACAATTACAAGTTTTTATGGGAGAATTCAATCATATACGCTATGATTATAATAAGAATTTAAAGGTCAAAGGACTAAATATGCCGAAGCATTTGTATCTTTTAGATTCGGACTTGTATTGCCCATTTGGTGCGCAAATAATTTGAAATCGGATAAAAATATATGTGGGAGCTACATCCAAATCGGCAAAGATATTTCTGAGCTGTATTTGATATATTTCCCTGAATATCGTTGTTACGGAGTGCATATTACGGCTGTGGGTAACAAATACAACAAATCGGATGACCAATATATATGGGAGCTATAGCTATATCTGAGCCGATTTCCAACAAATTTGACATGCTAGCTTCTAGAGTCAATTCGATCGTATGTGCCAAATTCCATCCCATTTGGGCAAATATTAGACGTTTGGTGCACAATAAGAGGTAAATCGGACGAAGTTATATATGGGAGCTATGGGAGCAAAGGTATTTCTAAGCTGCATTTGATATATTTCCCCAAATATTGTTTTTAAAGGGTGCATATTACGGCTTCGGAGAACAAAAATAATAATCGGATGAACAATATATATGGGAGCTATAGCTATATCTGAACCGATTTCGATCAAATTTGGCATAATTATTTTCAGGCCTAATTTGGTTGTATGTGCAAAATTCCATTCTATTCGGGCTGATATTACACGTTTGGTGCACAATAATAGGCAAATCGGACGAAGATATATATGGGGGCTATATTTAAATTTTGGCCGATTATCTCCAATTTTAATAGGGTTTGTCCTTGGGCCAAACAAATGATTTGTGCAAAATTTCATCTGGATCGGATAATAAATGCGAACTATACTTTGTTTGCAAAAATACATGGACAGACGGACGGACATACGGACGGACGGACATGCACAAATCGACTCAGAATGTGATTCTATGCAGATCATCAAAAGGAACTATGGGTCTATCTCGTTTCCTTTTGCCTGTTACAAACAAATGCACAAAGACATTATACCCTGACCACCTTGTGGTGGCTGTGGGTAACAAATATATGGGAGCTATAGCTATATCTGAACCCATCTTTACCAAATTTGACATACTAGCTTCTATACTCAATTCGGTCGTAAGTGCTAAATTTCATCCCATTTGGGAAAATATTAGACGTTTGGTGCACAAGCAAAAGTAAATCGGACGAAGTTATATATGGGAGCTATATCCAAATCTGAACCGATATCGATGAGTCGCAACCTGAATGTTATCGTTTCTCTTTCTCTTTCCATTTTCAGTTTAGTTCCCATGATCCTCATACACCGCAATGGCGCGTTGATCCGTGCCAATTGGAGGACACGGCGCCGGAAATGGAGGACCCTGTGCGTTTATTACATGGCCGAGTCCGCATTGTCTGGGAACACCGAAATCAAACGCTAAATAGCAAACTTATGGTTACCGTTCTGGGGAAGGGGGTTCAATGCAGAAGTGAAAACAAGCACCAGTGCCTTAAGATCGGGTAAGATGTCATCGAAAATTTCCTTATTTTAACATACACGCGTACTGGCTTCGGATTATTCTTGAGCACCGTAAGTTTTAAACTTGGAAATTGCACAGAGGCTCATATCTTGTATATTAGGCATTTACCAAATGTAGAATTTACCATTTGATGTCTTGATTTCGCCTACCTCAACTATTTTGGCGATATTCAAGCCTCAACGTGACTTTTTGAATTCTTGGTTTTGCAAATTTGTTTGGACACTCAGAACAGCGATTTTCGATTCACATTTTAACAAACATTGTCTTGAACTTCTGCTTATTCGGATCATCAGGCATCTTGGGTGAGGATGCTTTACAAAAGCCAAAGAGTTCAAAACCATTGAATTAAACTTAGATGGAACGCACCAAATGTCTAGAATTTGGTGGCATCATTCCATGGCAAAATGGCAAACCGTGTCAAATATCGAATATCTTCCGATAGACGAGACAAGCAGCTCATACAGGTAGCTAGGAGCTTCAGCTTCGCTACGTTGACGGGAGGCTCGTTATAAGGGCGCCGTTTCATTTCTTTCATCAATTTATTTATTCTTCCATTTTGTAACAAAACGGCATGGAAGACCATATACAGTTATTTCCGAATCCGAGTAGGAAAATAAAATTTAGTAATGAATTTAAAGTTATATTAATGTCAATTGAAAGTTGTGTGTTCCAAGTGTTATAAGGAATTTGCTGGCCACGAAAAACACCAAGGATCCTCAGATTCACCACAAAAGAATTAGCAAAAACTCTTCTCTTTTTGAAAAGTCAATTGTCTAAATAGAAGAAAGAAATAAAAAACAAAATGGCACAACCCGAACAAGATGCGTTTTGGTCTGTGATGGTGGTACCGGCAAGACAACATTCGTCAAACGTCACATGGCTGGTAAATTTGAGAAGAAATACGTTGCCACACTCGGTGTCGAAGTGCATCCATTGATTTTCCACACAAATCGTGGTGCCATCCGATTCAACGTCTGGGATACAGCTGGCCAGGAAAAATTCGGTGGTTTACTATTACATTCAGGGTCAGTTTGCCGTTATTATGTTCGATGTGACGTCGCGTGTTACCTACAAGAACGTACCAAATTGGCACAGAGATTTGGTGCGTGTATGCGAGAACATATCAATTGTGTTGTGTGGCAATAAGGTCGACATCAAGGATCGCAAGGTGAAGGCCAAGAGTATTGTGTTCCACAGAAAGAAGAATCTACAGTACTATGACATCTCGGCCAAATCAAATTACAATTTTGAGAAACCTTTCCTTTGGTTGGCCCGTAAATTGGTTGGTGATCCCAATTTGGAGTTTGTGGCCATGCCAGCCTTGCTGCCTCCAGAAGTCAAAATGGACAAGGACTGGCAACTACAAATCGAAAGAGATTTGCAGGAAGCCCAAGAAACCGCTTTGCCCGACGAGGATGAAGACTTGTAAACCTTCGAACCAACCATCCTCACACACCCACACACACACTTTCACCCTCCTCTTCATTGTCGTCGTTTCCCCTCTCTTTCCTGCTGCTCTGCATACAATCCGTTTCCCAGAAGTAAGGCTGCTGCATTCGACAACCATTTATTATTTTTTGTTAAAAATAAATTGGTTCGACTCCATTCCTCCAGATCGGCCAAAATTTGGAAGGGAAGGAAAAAGGATATTATATGGAGCACAATTTATATTACTTTTAATTGTAATTAACAAAAAACACACACAGAATTGTAGGCATTTAAGAAGTACTCTTTATCTCTGAACAACAGCAAAGAAGTAAAGCTTAATATAAAAGAAAAGAAAAAGAAGATAAAAAGAAAACACACTATTATTTATTCTTCCATTTTGTAACAAAACGGCATGGAAGACCATATACAGTTATTTCCGAATCCGAGTAGGAAAATAAAATTTAGTAATGAATTTAAAGTTATATTAATGATTATTAATATACCTCGGAAGGATGTTGAAGAAGTTCGACTTGTTTTCCCCTCCGAGAGTCCTATGCACTAGACATTTTGGCACTAAGGAATAGCCTTTTCTACCATCTTATCTTTACAGGGATGAACCGATTTTGTGTATTTCCAAAGATTTAATTTGCGATGGCATACGTCATTGTCCATACAGCAACGAACATGATAGTGACGAAGATTACGCCATGTGCTGGAAACGTAGTCGACTGGGCGAACCGGTGCCACCGGCGATGGACTCGGATATTTTCGAGCACCTCGCCCTGGAGGTATTTCGTAATCTGTTTGCGTTTGATGTGCCCTCAGTGGCAAAGGCAACAGCCACAATGCCGTTGAAAGGTGTCAATAGTGTCGTGGACCAAAACATATCAGCCGATGCCGATGGCGATGACGATGAAAAGCCTGATGGAGTTTTAGTAGCAGTAGATGAGAATAAAAATAGCACCCACAAGATTTCAACACCTGATACAGTCAACGACACTGCAGGCGGCCATCATCACCGGCGAAATGGCACGAGAACAGGATTGAACTCTGACCTTTCGAAATATGGACCCTGGGGCTATTTGATGCTAGGAATGTTATTGTGCGGCGGAGCCCTTCTAATCTGCGGTTTATGGGGTAAGTGTTGGAATGCTGTGGGAGAAGATTGTGTGGTGTCACTCATTTATGTTTTCCAACCATCCTTCATTTATCATCGACATTTCCTCTACTAACCTCCCTTGAAATTGCAATTCTGACCGGCTTTATGTTACTCTAAACACTGAACCTCATTAGTCTGCTGTTGCCGCTTTAACTATCACATTGAAACCATTCGTTCACTTTCAGCATCCGCGTCGCAGCACGCAGCCAACAATGAACGGGAATCGGCTTTGCAAAATGCGAATGCAGCTAATATCGCAGCTGGGCTGGTAAACGACAGTCTCTCCACCCCGGCCGCACCACCCAACTACGAAGAATTGGATCCTCCGCCGGCGTATTCGGTATTGTTTCCCCATCAGAAAGCAGCATCCAGCAACACCCTCAATTCTCTGGATGTCCACGCCTCCGTGTCTGCGCATCAGCAACTATCTCCCTCAGCAGCACCCAGTAGTAGATCTACGACGCGGACAGATACAGAGGTGACTGCCTCCAGCAACGCCAACATCGCTCATAACGACTGAAGCGAACATCAAGTACGTCCTCCGTCCACGTAGGTCGGTGGCATTGCAGTCAACATGCACACGGTCACTCATAAATCCACTTTGACTGGTGGAGCAGGTATATATTGACTAAACAACGCCGTTCCGCATGGTATTTTGGCCAGTCCGGTCCCTGGGTGGTTCAACCCTTGCGTTGCGAAAGGACCAAAGTCCCCTTTTGTGGTTATGTACTTTGCTCCATTCTCCTCCCTCGTTCAAATTCATGGTCTGCGGTTTTCGAAGTTATTGTTTTTAAGGACTGACTTAAAATTACTATTTTTATACAAACGTAGGCATACATACATATATTATTAACCAACGAAATGTTTAGATATAAGGGAATAACTTGTTTTCGTTTTAAGATTGTCTATTGAATGCTGCATTTAGAGACCAAAAAAAAAAAAAAAAAAGAAACAAAAAAAAAAAAACTGCAATAAATTTAAGAATTAGAAGAACATTTTTATAATTTATTGTAAAACTAGTGGCAGCTGTGTGTGTTGGGTGCCACCGCGATTCTACTCGATTTGAAACCCTTTGCCTTGTGGCGACACAAGGTGATGAACTGCAAATAAAAAGAGTTTTTCAAACGTTTTTCATGCAAACTATGAGATTTTTCGCATACGATTTCAGATGTCGAAGCACATTTGCTATAATTTTAAAACTTCAAAAGAAAAGGAGGACAATTTATTCGAACCACTACTGTTCGTTTACGCAAAAGCTCAGCCAAAGTGGACGGATCGCGACAATTTTTCATACATGTTCTGTTTTAATCAGCTGTTCAATGATAAAATCTTACATGTTTGAAAACACTTCGAGCAATGAGATTGGATTGGTTTAACTTATATGCACTTTTGAAGCATGCTACGTTCAAATATGTCAAAAAGAAAAAAAAAACTAGCATATAATTATGAAAAATTGTGGGCATTGCCAAGCAATGGACACATCCGGACGCGCAGATGTATTGAAAACGATAGACAAGCATATTTGGTCTTCAGACTTCCACGTAGTTGTAGTTGTATAATTGTTAACTCTTAACGTATGGTAATGTGATATAATGTAAAAGAAATAAAACAACCGAAATATGTAGAAATGTTTTTTCATCTCACCCTGTATATTAGCCACTAACGCTCCTTAGGTGGCATGACATAATGCACGTCTGTTCAATTACACATGTTCATTTAACAGGACTACCTAAAATAAGATGTTGCGTTCAAAAAATACTCAACATTTCCACCATGACAAAATACTTTATGATCTGATAAAAAATTATGTCACTTTAGAATTTGTTCTAAAACAAAGAGCCTTAGGACGGACACAATATTTGACCCATTTCACCCACTAAACATTATTCAACGATCGGCAACATTGCGCGTCGATCGGTCCGTAGCTATGGCTTCAAATAACTGTTTAAGGCTCTATCAGAGCTGCACATATCGTGTGATCTGTGGACGACAGTTGCACATATCGTGTGATACTTGGCCGACATTTCAGATGTGAAATGCATGAGTAAAGTACGTACCATGGTAGAAGAACAAATGTAGATGCATCAACGATTCAAAACATTGATATGTCAATATGGTTTAAATGTTTTTTTTTTTTCATAAAATAGTAGGTTTATATTATGGTACAATAAGGAGGTAGAACACATGGTACAATGATATCAAGGTAGGGCTATGATACCATATGATTTTAATTTTTTTTATTTTCTTTTCTGTCATCTTTATTTGTTTATGTATGTGTTTTCTTTTCCATAACAAAACAATTGTTCAGAAAATCATCAAATTTTTTTCAATTATTTATTCAAAATTTGTTTGATTTTTACAGCCCTGAGGCTATGCCCGCTTTCTGTCAGACTCATTCAAAATTGTTGTTATCATTTTTTCATATTTTCCTAATTTTTAAAATGAGTTAAATAGCGCAAAATATGAACGAAATGCTTGGATTTTCTCTCAAAAATATGATCCAAACTGTTCAATCTTTCAATTTTATGGCTAAACTGTTTAATAGCTTTAATGCGCGAGCCGCAATGTACGTGTCTTCCAATCATTGGTTTTGAAAATATTTTATTTTCTTATTTGAAAACAATAAATACATACACAAAGTTGGCAGAAGTCGGACACACTTAGAAAAAATTGTAATCAGCTGGTAGCTTTACCTTACCTTTTTATTGTACCATAGTTTATATATGTATAAATAAGAGTTGGTTTGGCAGTTCATTGTCCCAGTAGCTGTGTCGATTGTGTGAAAATATATGTAAAAATTTATATGTTGACTATTCAAAATATTGACCCTTTATTGGGATGGTACCGACGGTATGTGCCAATATTTTCCATTTCGCTTCTGAGCCAAATCGATACAAATATAGCGACTTCCTAGGTTTGGGCCATATCGATTACTTACCACCCCCCCTTTTTTATGAAACGAAAATGTAAATATTGAACTTGAGTGGGTGATGTATGAGAAAGAGTGGACTGATGTATTCGACTCTGACACTACATCCAATACTGATAAAATATTGAGATGTGCATAAAAAAGCTTATTTGCAGTATTATGCGGTTAATTGATAATCAAAATTTTTATATTTTGAGTTGACCTATATATTCCGTATTTCCATTAGATCTATGGTTAAAATAAATATTGAGAAAATCATTGACCTGTGTCACATGTTGTGAGAGTTATAATTATTCAAAATTTTGAGTCTTTGTGGAGGAGAATGAAACTATGACTTCTATATTCACACAAGATTTAATGTAGTTGGATTATTTTGTGTGAATTCAGAACAAACATGGAACAAATATTTTGAGTGTTATGGGACTTGTAACGATTTAAACTGTTTACCCTTGTTGGGGAGGTATCAAAAGGATTGTGTCGAAAAATCTCATGTCCACATCAGTTCTCGGGTTTAGCGAAGCATTGAGATATGATGTGTTTCGCACGGTATAAGCGTTTTCAGTATTCAAAATGTTGACCCTTTAAAGGGGAGGTACTTGCAGGAGTAGTCCGCTAAATACCATCCGATCTTATGTTGATTGAAATATTGTGATGTGCGAAATTTAAAGGTAATGGAAAATCCCCAGCCATGTGGCTACAAAAGGTATATGCCATTAGATACAGCCAAAAGTGTCCTACCGAAATTACGGTTTTCGACCCTAGGTCTCTTTTGACCAAATCGGTTTCAGGACATTTAGAGTCGATTGGGGGGTGTCCGTCCGTAGGTCTGTCCGACTGGCTTGTGCCCAAAATTTCTACAGTAAATCAATTAACATAGAAGACAGGAAAAGACTATCCAATGTTGTGCAAACTTTGAAAATATTAATGTTCGTATCAGTGCTAGGTGCGAAAATGTACAATATCGACCCACTCCATCAAGTATCTCCCCCGCAAAGTGTCAATATTTTGAATAATTATAACCCTTATAAAATGTGAAATAAGATCTCAATATTTTTACCAACACAAAATATATAATCCCAACATTTTGGTTAATAAAAGTTGTGGTGTGATGATGGGATACATCGGACCTCTTCTTCTGGTAATATGCGCATCTGATTCATTCCAAACTTCACACATTCCAATATTTCTACAAACTTAAGATATGTTGTGGAAATGGTAGATATCGGCCCTCTCCTCTCCCAAGAGCGAAATAAGCACCCGATTCTCTTTAAAATTCACACATCCCAATTTTTTTTACTAATGAAAGTTCTGGTGTGAAGATGGTGTACAAATGTTATAATTATTGTAAATTTTGACACCTGGTTTCCATGTTATGAGAGTTATACGTATGGAGCATTTTGAACATTTGTGGGATGGTACCACAAGGAGCAGACCGATATATCTTATCTCCTCACTTGATCTTGTGTTAGTGTAACTAGTAGCTTGTGCCTAGTTTGAAAAAAAACGGATGTTCATTTCGCGTTTTATGAGCGTCATAGCCTTTAAAAAATGTTGACCTGTTGTGGAGATGTGCAAAATTTGAAGAGAATGGGACTTTCAAAAGAGATATGATTATTCAAAAGTTTGACCTTTGTGAGGGAGGTACCAGTAGGTATGGATCGATGACTCTCATTCCCAAACTAGACATTGTGTTGTCAGAAATTTTTAAGATGTGCCAAGTTTGAAAATAATTGGATGTTCCTTTCGCCTCTTAGGAGCGTAATGGTTATTCAAAATGTGTTCACTTTGTTGTCCTAGCACTGATACGAACATTAGGTTTTGCAAAGTTTGAACAAAATTGGGTGATTTTTTCTTGTTCTATTAAGAAAATAATCTGAGAGGTACCAGAAGGACCTATATTGCTCATAGACCTATATTGCTCATCTCCGAACTCGATCTATTTTTGATAATAATATTACGAGTATCGCATCTCCCTTCGAGAGTTATCGTACGCACCCGCCACCCTGACAGACTCCTAGATCGGCTGCAAATGTTCTGAAACGGATTTGGTCGAAGGAGGTCTAGGGTCTAAACCATATATTATTGTGTTCCTCGAAATATACATTAAACACTAAAACTAGGGGCCATCAACGCAGTCGGGGTCAACAAGTATTTATATAGGTTTCTCTGATTTTTTTTAACAATCAAATGAAATTCCTGATGGCTTCCCTCCAGGGTCAATTTGAGTTTGTTTTATTGTTCTAGTGGACTGATGGCGATAAGAATCTTTCCTTCGTTTTTTTATTTCTTATTACTTACCATAAATATTTTAAGGCCTTGGCCGTTACACGAGGACACATGAACACCCAATGGGGATCAAGCAATCCTCGTGTTTTTCTTTGCTCGCGTTTCTGGACTTTCGCCATTATTTGCAGGGTTAACGTCTATCCCAAAAAGAACAGAGCTTAGAGTGATCGATCTTTGTTTGATAGGCATTGTTTATTCATTTAATTTTATTTTTTTGGTTGCAAGTACATTCATTTGTTGTTGTTGATGTTCATATATATGTTCATTATATGTTATTCAATACACATTTGCGAATTACGTTCAACGATTCTTCTTGTTGTGTAGTGGTGTGTGTGTGTGTGTGGGGTGATTGAGCGGTTAATGAATGTTGTTGTTGTTGTCGTATCGATTTGTTTCCATAGAGTGTTCAACATTGACTCTCAGGATGTGTACGCATGCAAAGGATTTTCGTTTTGAGTTTTTCAATTCTGCATGCAATTGGAATGGGCGCTAGAACTTTTCTGTACATTTGTATTTATATTTTAGATGTGTTCGTTTTATGTATCGGTCCTTAAACTACTTTGGTTGTGTGTTTGCATAGCCTGTTGAGTGTGTCAGGCAGCTCTGGGATATTTGTTTGGGCATTTCCTCTCCATGCCTGTGTGAATAGTAATATTCGATGACACTGTGTGTCAAATTAGTGAATGGGTTAATTTCTGTGTGATCTGGCGATGATTGAAAGTTATATTTATATAAAGTATATTTGGGCGATGTCGTACTTCCTGATTATTACGTTCCTTACCGAGGTGAGGGGAATACATTTAATACTGGAATTCAATGTTTCACTCTCTGTCGTAAATAAAAACTTTAGTTTCCCCATTCGTTAAAAATGTTTAATCATTGAAAGCAAATACATAGACACAGAGTTTTATACGTTTGTTTTAAAATGACCCAAAGTAGTCACAAGGGTTAAAAATGATAAAAAAAAGAATAAAAAGAACAATATGTAGATCCCTGGACATATAAACTAAGAGCTATACGAAAGCTTTTTAGACCAGCAACAGAAAAGAAAAGGGAAGGAAAGGGCAACAGACTGCTGCCATTGATTGGGGATCTGTAGTCGGATTCTCTAAATCATACTCTGAGTCACAGGCAAACGCGTTGTTTGAACTACACCATAATAAGGAATAACGACTTGTCACATTCACCAACAGCTGTGACATTTGTTTCCGGAAAATATTGCCACACATATGGGCCGAGCAGTAGCAGGTTTTCCTTCACGACTTTTACGGCCGCTGTTGGATATCAATACTATTTCGTGGGAACAACATCGCTACCACCATTCTTTTTAATCGCGATTTTCGTTATTATGTGTACATTTGATTAAGAATAGATTTATGCGGAATGCGAGCCGTGGGTCCTATAAATGTTTGCGTAATATGGGTAAGACGTCACATGTCTTAGGGGATAGGGACCATACTACGTAGAATTGTTTAAATTTTTTTAGTTCCTCTAGGGAGACAATTTATATTTGAGCAAGAAGGTGTTCTAGCGCACTCGGCCAATTTCTCTAAGTTTTTGTTCAACAATTAGGCCATCAAGGGCTATGTGTTATTCATTGAAATCTTTTAAAAATTAGCTTTAACAACTATTATGGTCAGCATATGAGTTAAAAATAGTTGAACAAATTAATAAAATTTAATGAAACAATCTGATATGACTTTGCTCAGCTCTGATTTAAAGGGTACCACCCAGACCCAAGTTCGCAATGGCGTAGCTGTTCCTTCGTCAAGTACCACATGGTAGGTTAGTATTCTGTAACTCTATTGCTCTTAGTGGGTGTACACATGAAGATTCGATGCACAGGTTGTGCGTATTGCTGTAGACGGCTATGATGGGACTGATAAATGGACATTTTCGGGTGTATGCCTATCTGCGGATATATTTTTGTGGAAGATAAATGAAAACACTATGTCGGTTTCCTTCGAGCGTTTTGGGGTCTCGGTGTGAATGATCTATGAAACGATGCTGTTCCAAGGTTTTGTTCATAAGAGTTGGGCGTTTTCAATTGAGTGGTGGTGTTTCTCACATCGATCGTTTTTCCTGCCTTTCCATGATTTTTAAAGACAAAAAACGACATTTACACTTATATCTTATAAATAAATATTTATTGTGTTGTATGAACTATTTTTATTTTAAATCTATATGTATATTTTTTTATTCTAAGAGCGCGCGTGTGTGTGTGTGTGTGCAGCATGTAGGTGAGAGTTAATTCGGTGCGTATTTGCTTGGCATGACAAGGGATGGAAGCGGTGAAGAGGCAGGAATGCGTCAGTGTGTGTGTGTGTGTGTGTGTGGTTTGCTTTATATTTTTGCATAAGCTGCATCCGGTGTTTGCCTAGATACTATTTTTCATTTCATCATATAACTTCAGGAGAAGCTCAGTGTTGTAAGACTTGCGGTCTGCAACGGCGGGACATAATGTGGAAATGCGGGGTGGAGGGGAAGGAAGTGTGCATGGGTGTGAGTGTGTGTGTCGTCTAATTCTAATCTTATTCGTAAAAAGTCTAAATCGTTTTTCAAGTTCAGCTTGCAAATGTCATTGGTTTACTTCATTATTTTTATTCTTTTGGATTTACTAAAAAGGCATTTAGAAGGGGAAATAGGACTTCACAAAAGCTAATTATCTCTAAGTGTTTGTTTTTTATTTTTCATTGTAAAATAAATTATTTATTAAAAGCATTGTTCGCATTGTTATTCAAATGGGCTTAAAGTTCGTTTATTATGTGTTGCATACTTCTTCTTTTGCACTCCTGGAGGAATGCGCGCGCATGCGTTTGGCGTGGAAGAAGCTAACAGTTGCCATATTCCTAGCTACGGAGATGGGCAAGGAGGGATGGGTACCTCTTTCCCCTGTTCTGTGCTAAATAAGTACTCCTCGTTCTCGTTCTCGTTAGTTTCTTTTCATTATATTTTTAGGTTGTGTTTTTTGTTACTTATTCTTCATGTGGTTTTTGTTATCGTTATGTATATTTACTTAGTTTTTGTTTTGAAAAATAAGGCCCGTGTATTTCATACATAAGTTTTCACTGGGAGTTACTAAGTATTCTATAGTTTGTAATACAAAGCGCTGGCTATATGTTACAAGCACGTAGTGAAGTGTGTGACACTGGGTGTTTTGTCGTTGTCGACTTGAAGCACTGTCTTTGGAACCAAATCCAGATGGACGCATTTCAGATATTTTTGTTCTCGGTTTGGAACGAAAGAAAATATTCCCATATTTCAATTGGTATGAATCGCCACAGAGATACATGGTCCGAACCACACTAAAGTAGGAGGGAATGTTCTGTGTTTCAAGCCATACAATATAATTTCCTTTAAGGAAATTATCATATTCAGTAAAAAAAGGAGCCAAGGACATTCAGTCCTATTTTTAACGCCACTTAAGGATATACCTTTCTTGCGCAGATTTTGTAATGATGGGCGCTCCAATTTTTTTTCTTCTTGCTTATTCAGACATACTCCAGACATTTCATTTTCATTTTAAATGGAATGGGTCTTATTGCCACACTCACTTTCAGCCATCAGTACTTTGGCAGCAATGGGAAATAACCGAAAAATTATAATTTACCGGAGGCGATTAAAAGCCTTTCGGTGTGACCTAATGCCTCCACAGTGTTTCAAAGCGGCTTTAAGTCAAACACTCAAAACCCCCATTTTCTGTTCGGAATTGTGCCCGATATGCTTTTGCTCGTGTTTTTCAATTTTGTTTTAGCTTACATGTAATTCGTTTACGATTAAAAATGGTGTGTACCCCAGAACCTATTTCAAACGGACTTGGGGCCCAATGCTGTTGTGGCTAACTACTTATGTATGTAATAGCAGTGGTGCTTCTTGCCACCACTTCTGTGATGCTGTTGTTGTTGTTGTTATTGTTGTGAGGCTAATTTGTTTGTTCTTTTGAAGACATTATCATACCGTTATAATAAGTGGTTGATATGGAACTAAAAACACGCAGCCACGACCATGTCCGCGTCGTAGTCCCACTGATCAGAAACAGAGTGCGATGGCACAGTTGGTTGAGTATGAGTTACCATCTGGTATGTTTCCCTCGGTGCGTTCAAGCCAGCTCACATGTATTTTCGTTCCAAGGGTCATCGATAATTTAGAAATAAGCATACAGAGGCTCTAAGTAGTGCGATTCCATAGATATGTGTGTTTGTCTGACTTTAGATCAAAATAGTCCAACGTTTTATTTTCATTACATTGTTCAAACGAACTACGAAGCAACACAAATCAATCAAATCAAACGTTGATCAAAACTTTCAAAATACAAAAATTCCGAGGCCCAAATCTGAAGGGCCGATGTAGCCAATCTTTGAACTCGACCTAGGTTTGAACTTAATGCAACCCATATATTATGGGGTTACATTTAGTTCGGAGCATTTCAAAAATATTTTGCTCTGCTGTTGTAGACAATTTAGACAAAAGTCACGAGGCCTACTGGAATATCGGTTTCGAGCGGATTTTCGATCCTCTGGCTTACTCGGAACGCCTGCACAGACACACGCATCAAGATGGTTCCGCGCAGAAGCATTTCTCCAAATGGCCATCGCATTGCCTTCATCAGTGGACTGTGGGGAAGCGATGTGAAGCGATGAGAATAAAAGGTAGCGTGTCTTCGTCATATCTTTCGGGGTGTGTGCGTGTGTGAGTGTGTGCATGTGGTTTGGTTTTCTTTATAGTGTTTTCTTTTTGTTTGTTAAACTTTCCTTTGTTTAGTTGTGGTTTTTCTCTCGTCTCAGTTAAATTGTCATTATGGTATAAAAATAGAAAAAGTGTATGAAAAAATTCGTCGAAAAAAGTTTTCCGTTTAGGTTTGGATAAAAATGTTGTTGCATCGTTAACAGGAGATTGGTTTGACTGGGAATAAAATCGAAGTGTTTTTTTAACTTGTTGCTGTTGTTGTTTTAATGTATAAAGTTTAATTACTTGTCTTATTCGCCCTACGTTTACTAAGTAGCAGATAAAAAGTGGGTGTGTCCTTTGCTTCGGGTTGCTTTTCGTTTTGGTGTGCTGCGTTGTACATACAAACATACATACATACATACATGCATACATGGGTATAAACAACATTTGCAGTTACATTAATTTCTACGTATAAGTGTAAATGGTATATCTGCCTCCGGGGGCGGAGGGTACATTAATACTATTGGTTGATTGTTTTTGTGACGTCATGTTGGCCGTTGTTGTTTTCGATTTCTGTTGCTTGGGCTAGACGCTTGAGCCTTTTGCCACTTAATGCGGCCGTATGCCTAACAGATGGGGGATCGTAGCATTCGAGGGATCCACCTGGGACTTATAGGCATTCCTTCGTGAAGTAGTGTGCGGGTCAGTCTCGGGGCGGGCTTCATTGGTAGCATCGATATCTTTAGAGGTTATCGTTGGTACTGAGCAGCGTACAGCGCTGCTGTGCCTGCTCTGCTCGGCCTGCAGGCTATCAGTCGTATGTTGGTCGGTTGGACTTTGGAAGAATGTCAAATGGAAGGCATCTCATTGTGTTTCGGTTCGACACTCGTTGTCAGCTTCCAATCGTATTGAAAGCAGTGTGAAATGTTGATGGGCGTTAAGATAGGTTGGCATTTCCAATGGTATGTTGGTGTAAATGTGGAAGTTCTACGTCCCTTCCTCAGTTCTTCTCTAGAGCGCGCGGATGCCTTTCGAATACACTGCGATGAAGTTTTGGCGGTTCGGAAAACTCCTGCACTGTCCTTGGATGGGGTAGGCGGGAGAAGATGTTTTCACTGCGTTTGACACTGATGTAGCAGCTTAGTGGCAGAGACGGTAGGAGGATATATTTGCGGTAAATAGGCGTAGCCACAGACGAGAGAGGGGAATTGAGTTGATTGATTTGATAGGCCAATGCCGCGATCTAATGAATGTTGAGTAGAAACGTTCTTGACCACGGAGTCGCTGAGCAATGTTGCGCTGGTGTAGCAGCCGCTGCGGTCGGCACTAGCAACCCCCATACCACGGAAATGTCCAGCACCATCAGTGCGGAAGCATTAGCGGACGAGCGGTGCTCGTAAGTTTCAGTCGCGACTGCGGCTTGTCCTCGAAGTCCTCGTCGTAGTTGTAAAATGGAGATATCTTGAGGCCGGTCTTTTCGGGTATGATCTTGAAGTGGGGCTGCTCGGTGCTGACGATCAGTGGTCGTTTCATGGAGTGCATGTACTGGGAGTGGGGTGCGCCAAGCGGTCGCCTTGTGCTGGGGACGTTCATTTTTTTGCAAGGCTCGGGCTTGGTCTCGTTGAAGTGGGAATTTTGAGCGGCGTATTTGTTTGGCTTGTAAATGGAGAATATGTTGTTGATCAGATTGAGGGCCGAGTGGCCACTTGCTGAGGCGTGCTGGCCAGAGGAGGTGGGCTGTTGGGTTTGGACTTCTTCAGGATAGAAATTGTTGTATTGATAGGTTGGCAGCGTTTCAGCAGCGGGGTACACTTTGTGGCCATAAGTAAATGGGCGGTGGAGGGGGGAGCCGGGTTGCTCAAAAAAATGAAATGTGTTCGAGGCACTGTTTGCGTCCGTGGGCAGTGAAGCAGATGCTGAGGGATGCTCAACTTGGGGGGGTGAAGGCATTCCCTCCAGGAGGGACTTCTTAATCAGCATGCGTTCTTGTTCGCGATCGTGTAAATCTATGGGTTGTCCATTGTTGTAACATCCAACGCTGACATTTTTTACTTTAAGATTGCTATGCATGTTGCGGCGTTGCATATCCAAATCTATCGGGCTGGGCGGCTTCTCCAGCTCTTCCCAATATTTTTCCAAGTCTATATTGAAGTCTTGCAGGTCCATTTCTGTGGTGTCCGAGCAGGAATCCTCGTCGTAGCGACTGGGTGGTTGTACTTCTAGCAGAGACTTGGTTCTCGCCGGACGTCTATAGGCGCAGGAGGACGAGCCATAGTTACGCCGAGGCGCACCTGATGACAAATAGCGCTCGTCCTCATCCAAAAACTTGTCTTGCATCAATAGACGGTCCCTTTCATCCCGTATAAAGTGGTCTAAATCTGTGTCAAAAGCCATGGCACGGCAATGCATGTGCTCCTCCTCTTCAGCCGCAGGATGGTGGCTGGGGCAGTGATATCGAGACCGTGGAACCGGAGGCGGCAGCTGCTGCTGCTGCAAAGATCTGGCTATAAGGTACTGCTGTTGGTGGTGGCAGCAATAGTCATCGGCGGCACAACAACAAATCACCGTAGGTGGCGGCGGCAAAGGCTGCTCACGATGTGATCCAGCGCCCGATAGCAGCGAGTAGCGAGAAGCCGTTGCCACACGATGATTACTTCGATCTTCCCACCAGTCAATATCATGCAGGTTTCTGTTGCTACCACTACTGACACCAGCACCATACAAGCCAGACATCGACGATGACGAAGGAGCTATCCTTCGCCAGGGTCTACGCGGAGCAGTGGCATAGCTTTCCGAATAGATGTCATCGAGCAAGCACTTGGCATTCGTGCAGTGTTCCCGGGCACAGCACACATGCAAATCTTGGGCTGAAGATAGAGCGGCCTCATCCAAGCTATTACTGCAATGGTAACCCATAGATTTGCGGAAAGCCTCGTGACGCTCCCGCCTGGACTTTCCCACGGCCGGTGGCACCTCGTAGTCCATAACGTCGAAGGGCGTGGTTTTCGACGAAGCACTAAACGAATAAGACTTGGGTACGTTCGACTTGTTCTTCAGTATCGACGTCATGGGGGCATGCGGAATTGAGGGTACGGGGGGCGGCGGTGAAGCACCGACTCCTTCGTCATAGCTGCGGTCGGGAAAGGAGCAGCTTTGGGATTTCGAGTAATTGAATTCCTTACAGCTGATCGAACGCTGCAGGCCATAGGCGGCCGAACCTTCTCCCTCACCCCTCCGTTCCTTCATGCCACCACTACCGGCGCCTACGCCACTCTCAAACACAGTCCCGACCAGTTCGTTCTCCATAAATAACTCATCGTTTTCACGTATGTTCCTTAGCTTTCCCATTCTCCCATATTTCAGACATTCCGGAATGTACCCGTCGTCCAAATCTTCGGAGCGATTAGAATAAATGTTGTCCGTGTACCAGTTTGGGTCAAGTTGCCGCGGTTTCGGTTTGGTCAGAAGCATTTTATCTCTTTTCGACTGGCGATAGCTCTCAAAGCAAATACTCTTCATGCGCTCCAATTTCTGCTCCCGAATTCGCTCCCAATTCTCCCAATTTTTGTCGTTTTTGCTGCGCCCGCTGCCATCCAAGCAAAACGTTAGCGTCTTGGTCATATCGTAGTCACCATTGTAGTCGACATTTGTGTTTTTGACTTCTCCCTTGTCCTTGTCCCTTATGCTCCTATAGGTGGTCTGAGTACCACCATTGCTGTCTGTGACAACGATGCGTATCCGACGACTGCCCTTGTCCCCCGCCTTGGATGACAATGACGACTTTTGGGGTTGTTTGTCGCGGTCGCCAGTCGGATCTTCGGGCTGTCACACTTCTTGTAGATATTTTATTGGGCAATAGCCCTGGCGATTGTCAGCAGAGCGTACCATGACCATTCCGTTCACTTCATCGCCCGCCTGGAGAAAAAACAGTGGGTAAAATTGTCAAAACGGCTATTCAGATAATTGTATTTTCCGGGACGGGAGATCTAAACGTACCTGTATTACAATTTGATCCCGCAGGAGTGTCATATTTTCTCCTCGTTCTCCATCCGAAACTTGCAAGTTGTGGGTGACTTGCAGTGGCTTTTCGTTTGCATTCAAACGCACACAGTACTTGGATGGGAAGTATCCAACACGTCCCAACACCTTGCCCTTCCACCAGTCGGGGTCAGAGGTGTCGATAACAGTAACCTGAAATTATATTACACCACATCGATGGGAATTAACTGTCAGAAATAGAATGACAAGCTGCTTACAGGTAAACAAGTAAAAGGGGTTTTAATGTATACCCTCCACTACTACACTTATCTAAGTAAAATGAAAGAATGAGAAGAGTCGACTATGTTAACTTATCCGTTCCGGTTTTAATTAAAACAAAAAATAGCCCAAATAGCGAAAGCCATATCATCATTTAATTTGGTTGGAAAAAATAATGAAAATCGGGATGTAACCCTCTATAGGGCTATACCAATTGGTCGAACTGTAGCGAATATGTTTTGCAGGGAGAGAATAGACCTGCCAAGAACCCTAAATGAAAAGTTGCAGTTGATTTGGTTAGAAATTGTGGCACAAATCTTCGAAATATCGAAAATCCGGAGGTACCATTTGGGCTATACCTATAGACCAATATAGTCAATTTTTAATACCAATCAGCCTGCAATGTGAACCCTTTCATGATTTCAACTGCCAAACGGACGGACATACAGACCTACCACGTAAAAACAACAAATACACCGGGACCGCACACATAAAATGAAACATTTATTTGTCATTGAATAAAACTGTTGTTATACCCTCCACCATACTATGGAGGGTACATAAACTTCGGTTCACATTTTCATATAGCCCCCCGGTACATTTAAATATTCCGTATACATTATAGACCGGACATTTTTAAAAATTCGCATTGGTCCACGCCTTCGTATAGCCCCTATATAAGGGTATCTCCCAATATTCGGTATTTTCATCGTATTAGAGACATTATTCTCCGGAATTGTTTAAACTTCGTATTTGAAGTTCGTAATGAGTGCTTCAACCTATGATGGAAAAATGTACACGCAGGTCCACGTCTTCGTAAACCCCAAAAATAACGGTGCCGGTATTTTGATGATATTAGCGACATTATTCAACTACAGCCTATGACAAAAAATTGCGTATGCAGGTCCTCGTCATCGTAACGGGTATCATTCAAACGGTATTTTTCGACAAACTTTTCATAACATTTTGCAGGTTCCTTCCAAATGGTGGAGGGTATTAAAAGTTCGACCCGGTCGAACTAAGCTGTTTCTTTACTTGTTTATATATATTTTTGACTTGCTAAATCGTGATGAGTCAGTGGAACTGTAATTGTGGATTGATCATCTATCGCCTTTTCAATAGGAACAAACTGAAGTGCATTAGGCGATGGGGTGGGAAGGTCTGCTTGGATGTTTTATCGTCTGTGTTGATTTAACCTTCTAAGTTTCAGAAATATATGCATAGTATGCAAAAATGCGGAATTAATAAAATCGACGTAGAAAGGATAGAGAATGAGCAAATCTGTTCTGTGTTACCCCACATCCACGTATACGTCAGTGGTATTTCCAAGAAAGGTATTTAAAATATTTAAATCCATAATGATTTGTGGGGACGGGTGACACTCAAGTTGTAGAGGGAGTCATAATTTTGTTTATGTCCATCTGGCATTTCAATCAGATTGGCTTCACGTATAAAGTCACATAACGGAGATATAGTTAAAATCGTGCGAACGTCTACATTTTCCAATGTATCCTCGTAATCTCGTGCAAACATATGCATCTGGAAACTTGTATTTGAAAAAAAAAAAAAAATAAACAAAAACACCCAAAACACCCTTAGTATGGCGGTTTAGTTATATGGGGGCTATATCACAACGTGGACTTCGAAATAAATACAACTTTCCAGAGAACGGCCCTTGTAAGCCGTCATCCACACCAAATACGAGTATGCCGCTTAACCAATGGCGAATCGCGTCGCATAGTGGTGAGTGTGTCATAGTGTCTATCCGGCTTTCCTTTTCACTGCAAATTTCAGATCATACAGCTCGATAGAGAAATAAACACACACATCGTAAACATATCATCGTCGCCTTAACAAGGCAAAACTAAAAAAAAAAAAAAAAAAAAAAACAAGTTAAAACGCAGTAAGTTCGGCCGGGCCGAGCTTTAAATACCCTCCACCATTTGAAATGAATTTTCAAAAAATAAAATCCTTAAAAAATTCTGTCAAAATGAGGCATTGTTTGTTATAAGCCATTACCATATTCAAATTCGAAACTTGAAATAAACCGTGAATAAAGTAGCTAAAATCATTAAAATATCGTATATAGGGAGGTACCGTTATATCGGAGCTGTGCGAAGACCTGGACCAGCATAGACAATTTTCTGTCACAGGCTGTAGCATCCATTACGAACTTCAAATACGACATGCCAAACAATGTCGGTGGGTATTGTCCCTAAAATCGTCAAAATAACGAATGTAGGGAGGTACTGATATATGCGGCCTATACCTCCTACCTGGACCAGCATAGAAAATTTTCTGTCATAGGCTGTAGTATCCATTACGAACTACAAATACCAAATTTGAAACAATTCCGGTTAATAATATCGCTAAAATCATCAAAATACCGAATATAGGGAGGTACCGTTACATGGTGGCTATATGAAAACGTTTTACATACTTAACCTGCCTACTGGAAAAAAAACATGTGTGCAAAATTTAAGCCTTCTGTCTCTATTCGTTCGAAAGATAGCGTGATTACAACACACAGACAGACAGACATCGCTAAATCGACCTAGAATTTTACGCTGATCAAGAATATATATACTTTGTTGGGTCTGACATGAGTATTTCGAGGAGTTACAAACGGAATGACAATGTTAATATACCCTCCATAGTATGGTGGAGGGTATAAAAAACAAATAAGCCAAGGCTACTGTCTTGCGGAGCCGACTATGTGATACCCTACAACACTTCAATTCAAATCCATTTTGGAACATTTCGCTTTTGAAATTATATCACGAAGCACTGCCCAGATATTACCAGGTACATTTGACCAGGTACATTTGCCCAATATTTACGCACTTCTTTGTTAGTTGTTGTTATCCATTTCACAGCTAAATATAATCCGATGGTCATCCAAAATGCTAGAATTCTTCGCTATCCTTCGCTAAGCCAGAAGTCTGTAAGTTATTTTCAGAGTTTCGGTAGAATGAAAATATTGCTTTTTTTCACACAAAGTAGTAGCCCATTCAACCCGCTGTCCTAAACTCTAACTTCATACGAAATTTCACGTCTTTTGGTTTCTATCTGTGACCTTTATAACGGCTGCAGGTCCATTTTTAGTTGTTGGTCTATTTCAACCCCTACATATATTGCGGACATCTTTGGAAACAATAGGCCTAGCCCTTCTGACCCTAACCATATCCTTGTGCAACTTTTCATGAGGATCGGACGATAATTGCAATCTGTATATAACGCATGTTGTAAGGTAAAAACCAGTAAGGAAAGCTCAAAAGTCGGGCGGGGCCGACTATATGATACCCTACACCACTATGCATATTTAGTAGAGCTCTCGTAAAAAGGTTTATACAGGGCATTTCAGAGCTCTATGAGATATTTGGTACAAAATCAAAATCTATCTAATTCTATCGTGCATTTTACGAACTATAGCTATCTCTGAACCGGGTTTCTCCAAATTTTACGTATTAGCTTCTAGACTGGTGATTTGGGCTGATATTGACCATTTAGTGCACATTTAACCCGAAATCGGATGAAGATATATATGAGAGCTATATCCAAATCTGAACCGATTTCGATAAAATTTAAAACAGCTATTCCTGTGCTCCATCTAATACCTGGTACCAAATATCACGGTTGTGGAGTGAATATTACGAATGTATGGGACTAAAACTCTAAATCGGATGAAACATATATATGGTTGCTATATCTATATCTGAACCGATTTTCACTAAATTTGATATACTTGCTTCTAGGCTGAATTTGGTCCGATGTACTAAAATCCAGTCCATTTGGACTTATATCGGCCATTTGGTGCACAATTAACCCGAAATCGGATGAAGATATATATGGGAGCTATATCCAAATCTGAACCGATTTCGATAAAATTACAAACAGCTATCTCTGGGCTGTATTTTATATCTGGTACCAAATATCATTCTTGTGGAGTGCATATTACGAATGTGAGAGGCTTAAACACCAAATCGGATGAAAGATATATATGGGAGCTATAGCTATATCTGAACCGATTTTCTCCAAATTTGATACACTTGCTTCTAGGCCGAACTCGGTTGGGTGTGCCAAAATGCAGGTAATTTGGACTGATAGTGGACATTTGGTGCACATTTAACGCGAAATCGGATGAAGATATATATGGGAGCTATAGCTGTTTCTGAACCGATTTTCTCCAAATTTGTTGTATTAGCTTTAAGGCTAATCTCGGTCACATGTGCCAAAATTCGGGCCATTTGGGCTGATATTGGCCATTTGGTGGTCAATTAACCCGAAATCGGATGAAGATATATATGGGAGCTATATCCAAATCTGAACCGATTTCGATAAAATTAAAAACAGCTATTTCTGGGCTGTATCTTATATCTGGTACCAAATATCATTCTTGTGGAGTGCATATTACGAATGTGAGAGGCTTAAACACCAAATCGGATGAAAGATATATATGGGAGCTATAGCTATATCTGAACCGATTTTCTCCAAATTTGATACACTTGCTTCTAGGCCGAACTCGGTTGGGTGTGCCAAAATGCAGGTAATTTGGACTGATAGTGGACATGATAGTGGACATTTGGTGCACATTTAACGCGAAATCGGATGAAGATATATATGGGAGCTATAGCTGTTTCTGAACCGATTTTCTCCAAATTTGTTGTATTAGCTTTAAGGCTAATCTCGGTCACATGTGCCAAAATTCGGGCCATTTGGGCTGATATTGGCCATTTGGTGGTCAATTAACCCGAAATCGGATGAAGATATATATGGGAGCTATATCCAAATCTGAACCGATTTCGATAAAATTTAAAACAGCTATTTCTGTGCTCCATCTAATACCTGGTACCAAATATCACGGTTGTGGAGTGCATAGTAGGAATGTGAGGGACTTAAAGATCAAATCGGATAAAAGATATATATGGGTGCTATAGCTATATCTGAACCGATTTTCTCCAAATTTGATATACTTGCTTCTAGACCGAACTCGGTTGGGTGTGCCAAAATTCAGGTAATTTGGACTGATAGTGGACATTTGGTGCACATTTAACCCGAAATCGGATGAAGATATATATGGGAGCTATATCTAAATTTGATCCGATTCTCACCAATTTCAATAGGGTTCGTCCTTGGGCCAAAAAAATATTGTTTAGAAAATTTCATCTCAATCGGATAAGAAATGCGACCTGCATTTTGTTCACAAGAATACATGGACAGATGGACGGACGGACGGACGGACGGACAGACGGACTGACATGCATAAATCGACTCAGAAAGTGATTCTATGAAGGTTCTCAAAAGTAACTATGGGTCTATCTCGTTTCCTTCTCCATGTTACAAACAAATGCACAAAGACATAATACCCTTACCACTATGTGGTGTAGGGTAAAAATATTACAAAATGTAGACTTCAAGTCAAATTAAATAAAATAATAACAAATTCACAAAATCCAAATTTACATAATTATTGGCATCTTTTTATGCGATGTTTTTTTTCGATTTTATTCTTTTATGCCAAGATGGCATTCTGAATTGACAAAATTTGTCAAAATCGGTTTAGCCATTCAGCATTCTAGCAAACATCACCTTCCTTTGTATACACACATTGTATATATCTCGCTATATATATCCGATATGCTTACTATCGGCATCTACATAATGGTCAGAATTGACCTTTTCGTCTATTTGTGATTTCGCCGCGATTACAAATAATAGCGGTTTAATGTAAAATTTGACTTTTATTTAAAACAAATGTTATGGTCTACTTCACCCACTAAATATTACCCGATGACCATCAAAATTGGGAGACATTTGTCCAGCCCTAAGCTCTTGCCCCATGCTAACTTCAGCAAATCAGGAAATTTCTCAGTTTTTGGTCCATTTCAAACCCTAAATATTATGCGATCTTCTCCAAATGCAATTTCGTGAAGATCGGGCCATAATTGCGACCTATAGAGTGATTAAAAATTTACATGGACAGACGGACGGACGAACATACATAGCTAGATCGACTCAGTTCGGCGAGATAGGAAGATCCATTTATACTTTCCTATGTGGGGAACCAATATTTCGAGGTGTTACATAATTTTTGGCCCTTATTAAACTAATAATACCCCCAACACATAGTGCTGGCAACACACCAATTCAAATTCACACTAATTCCAAAAAAGGTCGCATTGGAGGTGAATCCCGACATTATTGTAGCGTAAAAATGTTTTGTGTGGAATTCATCGACGAAGATGAAATGGTTCAAGAAATATTTTACAAATTTTATATTTCAATGTTCTTTAGTGCTATTGTTTTTTTTTTTTTTTTTTAAGCGAGATAAGGCCTCGACTGGCTTTAAGGTGCCACCATTTGTTGTGTATTTATGCAAATTGAATTGAATATGTCTTTTTCCTTTGGTTCTAATTTCAATTAAACAAACTTTAGTCCAATCGAATTTCTCATTTTTCAAGTATTTCAAAGTATGCAAATATGCAGAAATCCGGTGTCGACTCATCATTACAATTTCGCAAAATGATAAACTAAAGGTTAACACTAAGTGTTTACACTGTGTGTTGTGGGATGGTTTGGTTTATTTCGGGGCGCTGAATTACTGGACAGAAATGCACTTTATACGTACCTTATAGCCAGCCTTTAAGTCCAGTTCGTCGGCATGACGAGCCTTAAAGTTATACAAGATCACATACAAGTTGGTGGGCAGCAGCCGGTGCGATTTCTGGTAAAATAGAAAAAGAGAAAACTGATGAAGCTGTTGGGGTTACGTTGTGTGCGGGACAATTCGGTGTTCAGAGACCGATTGTTGGCGCTTGAAATTTTGGAGGGCATTTTAAATGGGGAATACCTGAACATGTCTTACGGGAGAGGGGCATGGCGAAGTGCTGGCCGACGATTGCGACTTTTCCATTTCGTCGGGTAGATCGACACTGCCTCCACGCATTCCACGGCTGGCATACAACATCTTACGTCCCTGGTGCGAAGGACTCGAGGGAGCTATAAATGTGGACAGTAATAATGTTAGGAAAAGCATTTGCATAAGGGGGTGGATTCCAATTAAGATATCGAAAGGGCAAACAAATTGAGTGGGAGGATGTATGTGCTCGCTGAAGGATAAACAGAAACCTCAGTGCGGGTAGTGCTAAGAATTGTTGGCAGTTACTTGGAAGGAAGACTGAAATAACAAAATAAACTTTAACGTATTCTTACATAGGAAAAATAAAGCATGCTTTCCATATAGCTGTTGGTTCTATGGCGGTTGGAACAACTCAATGAGCAGAAATAAGAAAAAAGGGTGTGTCGAATTTACGATACGACCAGTGAAATATCTTTGTCCTCGTTTAACTATTGGTCTTAAAAGCAAAATGCGTCAGTCTTATAGCGACGTCGTTAAGTGTCTGATACTTAATTCATCTACTCATCTGGAGGTCAGCAATGGCATTGAGGTTCAAAAAGTTTTACAAATCCACCTGAAAACCAATGCCGCTGGTCGGGTTCGGCAACGAATTGTGCCTCGAAGACATCGCATAACGCTGCCACCCAGGCCATGTTATATCAGGAGACTGTCCTGGCATTTGAACCTCTAAAACTAGTCCCATATCTAGAGATGTGCCAATCTGGTTCGATCGATTCATTTCCATGGACTTCGGTATGTTTGTATGACCACTCTGCGTATGAGTGATGTGAAATAAATGAAATCACTCATACGTTCAGGTACCGAACTGTGAACTAGATTGACACAACTCTAGACACAGCGATATTTTGCGAGTCCAATTAGTTCGGGCACAGGTGGGCAGACATATTCCCTCCCTCTGTATCGATTTCTGTGCAATATGTACGTCAGCATTTACACTAGTCGTCCGATTTATTGGTGTTTTTGGTGAACCCAGTAGTGTTAGGTATCCCAGTTTAGTCTCCTCTGTCGTTGTCGTTTTTCGTGGGGTTTTGGCCAATCAATTATTAAACTGACGTCTACGATGATTGAGCACTGTAGTTGTAACAAATTAAAATATTATGACATGGTAACAACAACAGCAGCAACAACAAAAATAGCTGTTATAAATTAAGCATGGTCTTTCGTGATTGTAAGTATGTATTCATGTATATGTACATCTATAGGTAGCCAAAAATACAAAATATGCCACTATGGCCATGGTTATGAAGCACACCTGGTGCACAAACAACAACAACAACACTACTAGGACTATGGTTACTGTTATTTAGCAAGGATGCCCAACATTCCAACGTCACATTTCGTCTACGCCGTTGTTTTATATACAGGAATGGAATTTTATACAGGAATGTCGGAATGGCAGATGAAGTGTGCTTAGTCGGGGTAGGGTGTGTGTGTGTGTATATGTGTGTGTGCCACTGATGTTCCTTGTCTTCGGGGCAAATAGGAAGGACAGCCGAGAGATGCGACAGACTGTCCCACCTTGCGTGCCCACATAGTCACCAGATACCGTCAGCTTTCATTGAGGCTGTATAGGGGTTGTTCGCGGTGCTTGCTTGGGGATGGGAATATTGCAACAGCTCTGCGGTAGGACGTCCGTAGATGGTGGTTAGATAGGTGGTAGGTAGGTGGTAGATAGGTGATTGTGGAAGTTGGTGGTGTCAAAATATAGACAGGCATAGGTTATAGTATTTGGCTAGAAACGAGAACTACTTACAATGCAAACGACTATTGTTTGATGGCGGTGTACTGTGCTCTAAGTGACCACCGGAACCTCCATGATAGTAGCTGCTGGCGGCTCCCGTCGCTGGACCGGGTACCGGTGGTTGTCTACGTCTAATTTGTCCATGTAATTCCGATGATTCGGGCGAGTCCAAGCTCAGTGATTTCATGCGTAAGTTCAACTTTTGTCTTCTTGGCGAATGGGGAGCTTTTGTGGGACACCCAATTTCACAGAAATGTACAATGCCACGTCAGTATCCACCGAATGCCCGATAGTTACGTGTGATTTTGGTTTGGGTCAGTGTTGTTAATGGTGATGATGATTGTTGTGGTTTTATTTGCATGTATTGAGGGATGATCGCCATTTCAAGTTTTTTTTTTGTTTTTGTTTTGTCGATTTAGTTTTAATACCAAAATTAACAACGCCAATGAAAAAGAAACGCCAAATGTTAAATGTTAATATCGAGGCAGTATTCAAATTGGACATACAAACATATCTACAAGGAAGACGGTCTGTGTAAAAATCATATATGTGCATTCAATATATCTCATCTCATTTAGCATTCAAGGAACTCAAACCAAAAAAAAAAACAAAAACAAATGATGAACAACAAGGACATAGACAGCTACGTAGGGATATGGTTAGTTGAAAACAACAACAACAGATGCGGCGATCGTAGAAGCAGCCATTTCAAATTTGTTATTTAGTTAACGAATGTTGACATTACACTGTGTATCTGTCGTGCGTGTGTTGTTGCTGTTTTCAGTGCATTTGTTTGTTTGTGTGTGTGTGGGTGTGTGCGTATGAGTATTGTTGCTATATTCAAGGACTCTGTGCAGTGAGAGGGGGGGGGTGTTCTTCATCATGCTTATTAAGTTACACGTACACGTACATAGATAGCTACACACAAAATACAAACATGTAATGTGAACAATGAATTAATCAAATAAAGAGAATAATGTTCAGATTCATGATCATTTTTTGTTTTCACAATGCATTTGTTAATGATGATCGACAAAATCGATCAAGGACATTGAATTGAAATAGTTATGTGCAAATGACACATTTAAGGCATAGCTTAAAGTTAGACAAGTATCGCTTAGCAAAATTGAAAGTGGAACTACTAGACTTCGGTTCTTCAGTAGTCTTTAACGAACATCGATATTTAAGAATGGTTTTTACATGATTGTTGTTATTAGAAAACTTATTACAATCACTTTTTGATGGATTCTTCCAGCAATAAAATAAACAAAATGCAAGTGCTCTTATTATGTGCCTTCCATATGGTGAAGGCAGAACCCAGGTTTGCAAAATACCAATAGATCTCTATTGTTTATATTAATATAAGGGAAAGAACAATTGTCGCGATCAAAACTACTCGAAACAAATCTACAAATTTGTGCAAAGCATATCATACCGACTATGATCGTTATTGGAAGGACATTACGGCTTAAGAGCGGTTTGAATTCGAAACCGGATGCAACGAACATATGGAGACATTTTTTCATATATCATTGCTATAGACTGAATATTATTTATAAGTGGACTCAGAAAGTGATTCTATGAAGAACATCAAAAAAGTTACGGGTCTGTGGCATAAACAAGGGCATAATGGCCTGTTGCCACCAGTTATCCAAACCCAGTTATCCAAACCCAAACCAAAGGTTGATAATTCCTATTCGTTGCCTGGCGCTTGCACTTGGAGCCTGTTTTGTAACAATATTTTTTCATTTAGTTCGCATTTTTTTTTTTTTGCCAGTGACAGCCACGGGGAACCCTTATATTTTTGGCAAAATACCTATCGTTTTAAAACAATTTGAATTTTTATTACAGAGCCATGCCAACATTGTATGCATTTGAAATGTACATACGAATTATTTTAGGACATCAAATTTTTATTGGCGCGTCTTACAGAGCCAAATCCTTCAAATGGTTTCTTGAAGTTTTGAGCTGAAAACTCAAAAAAAAAAAAAATCAAATCAATAATGGATACGGAAGGTGAGATGGTACGGTCAGCTGCTCTCTCTTCTCTTGCTGCCAAAACTGACCTTTTTTACAAATATTTATTTAAACAATTTGTGTTATTGCGGAAATACGGGTGTCAAACGTTTTAAATTAAAATTTGGTAAAGCAAATTGCGTATTCTCCTTTCTTTAATGCATTCCTTCCGAAATAGCTTGTGACAGAAAGAGAGGATCAATATCTGAATTCGACTCCGGGACGACCATATAAATAGACCTTGTGGAATATGAACGGCTTGAGTGAAAGTTTGTTTTTACAGAAACAGGATGTTAATACACACAAATAAAATAGGTTGCACTTTGAAGACAGAGGTTATAAAAACCCATTATTGATTTCACCTACGTGTCCCGAAATGAGTTCCGGTTAGTACACTGTTAAGATTTAAATATGCCATTTAACAGGTTTTCTGAAGGGTATAGAAATAAACGATAGATCAACTATGGATGGTTTGTCGTGCAGGATATATTCCCTATATTCCCTTCCAATTGTGAGATCCGTCTTTTGCTTTGTATACATACCGAAAACCTTATATGTCAACTTAGAGGTCATTCAAATGAGAGACCTGTGAGATTTGCAGAATGGCAACTGTCAGGCGATTCCATTACACACTGTGAATAATGTAAACGATTAAGATCTCTCTTAAACACGGCAACCTCTTTCATGATTGCAACAGACCCTACCATTTTACTCTGATCAAGGCTCCCCAAAGAATGGTTTGTGGTCTAACAACCTGAGTGCTATAATATATTTATGAATGGAACAAATGGAGACACTTGACCAGTGGCTGGGTGACCAGGGAGTTGCAACAACAGGCGGGCGAAGTCGAACAAACGCATTTGGCTGAAATACAAGTTTGAAGCCCTTTTTACAGTTTTTTTTATTTATTTTCAATCTCTCTACAACAATTATAAAGAATATCAAACATAGAGTAAAGTAAAACTAGGCTATCTTTAAAGATAAATAAAAGTAAAGCAAAACAAAACAATTTGAAAACAGCTTCGTAGTCAGTACGGCCTCCTTCGAGAGTAGGAAAGTAAACGGGGGAGTAGTGATTGCTTGCTTCTAAAGTACATATATGTATATATGTATGTTTTTTTTTGAGAATACTAGTGAGGCTTAACACGGGAGGTTTGGTGGGAGGAGGTTTCATTTTTATTTTGCTGGGGACCTGGTCTGTGACATTCGTAGGGTGCTTTGTTTGTGGGGGTTAACCGGCGTCTGCTTTCTAGGTCTTTAATCGAACTTTTCTCGCTGACTTGGCCGCCCCGTTGGTGGTGGAGCCAGGCATTGATGAGCTTTCCGAACTTCGCTGACGGCTAGATCGATCGACCAGTATTTTCTTCTTCAGCATTAATGGCTCGCCATATGGCCGCTCTAGGGTGGCAGGACTGTCGTCTGTAACTATGATGGAGAGATTTGAAACACAGTCATTAGATCTGAAACAAAAGTCGTCGGTCTTATCCGACCGCAGAAAGGTTAGCTGTGGCGGTTTTAGAAAGCAAAGCCATGTCCAAGAATGTTATTAGTTTTGTTAGTTGAGAGGAAAAAGAAACAAAACACAATAATCTGCATGCTCTCTTAACGTCCATGGAGCTCCAAAAGCAATGCTAAAACCATTGCATTACTTAAGGCTCCTAGGTTGTGTGTGCGTGTGTGGTGAAATGAGAAAAAGTTTTGGGCGATTTCAATGGGCAGCTCCACGTCCATCTCTTCAAGATCTTTGTAAAGTATCATTGCACCTCAGAGTAGGCCTTATGTCTGTGTGTAGGTCTTGTAAACCATATGTCTGGAAATATATGCTGACATTCTGGGGCCTTGTTTTAAATCAGAAACAAACATTAGAAATGGGAAGTGCAGGATAACTCCCGTTTCCGCAAACAAGCTCCACGTCCATCTCTTCAAGATCTTTGTAAAGTATCATTGCACCTCAGAGTAGGCCTTATGTCTGTGTGTAGGTCTTGTAAACCATATGTCTGGAAATATATGCTGACATTCTGGGGCCTTGTTTTAAATCAGAAACAAACATTAGAAATGGGAAGTGCAGGATAACTCCCGTTTCCGCAAACAAGATTACATGCACACAGGCCGACTGGTTTGTTCCTCATTAAATTTAATTAATTCGCGAACACACAGTCGCCTTAGTTCTTTGCCCCTACCGACCATGCCTGAGCTTCAGTAGTCTGCAAAAGATGATGATGAAAACGGGGGAAAAGGCATGACTCTACAAGACTCCAAACAACACTTCTGGCCGAAAGCAGTTCATCCGTCAAATGCGACATCACCTCCATCGTAGCAGAAGCATCATCTCCGTGTGTAGCAACAGCTCGAGCTCGGGGAATAACAGGAATTTCGGAACACAAACATTTAGACGAAAATACAAACACACTCATAATGACGATGAACCGAACCGAACCGAACTGAACAAAACAGAATAGAATAGAAAAGAACACAAAACGTGAATGTGACAGCAAAAATGAAATAAAGCCAAACCGAGGAGAAACGTTGTCGCCACACAGCCCACACAACTAGAAGCTGTTGTCGTACGAAGTCGACGAGTGTGGCAGCAGGGATGTGCTTGTGAGTAAGCGCCGAGCTGTTCCATTTGTCTGAAACACATCCAAGTGACTGACACCTTTAGTTTTGTGGAAGAAATGATAGCAAATGCCTGGTGACAGCTTCTACGAGCCGCTTTCCAAATGTACGGGCGGGTCAATGCATTAAAGTGCTCCAACCAATCGTTCATTATTGTGTGCTGCTTGCTCCTAGCTCCTCCCTACGCCGAGATGGAAGAGTTGATTGCCATTAGAAAGATTTATGTACATAAGTCGGTTTGATTGCATTGTTTGTTGGTTCTCCAAACCCCTTAAGAGGATTTGAAAAAATGATTTTTTTCCGATGCATGATTAGGATGTTCGTTTATTTGTCTTTTAATTAAAGCCAACAAATAGCCGATTGGAAGTGCGGAGAACAAAAGGATCGGGTTATTTATTCGGATTTATAACAAAAGAATAGCTAGCCATTTTACGCTGACGAGAAAAACAGGAGACGGTTTGGTTTTCCGCATTAGCCGTTATTTGTATGCACTCACGCTAATGGTCGGTCCCTATAACGGTCAAAATGCGAAGCAAGCCATCAGGTTTGTCCCAACTTTTAGTACATTTGTCATTTTCATACCCTCCTCAACTCATCGAAACAAACTGTATGCACGGGTACTCTTGATCAGCGTAAAATACGATTTAAGACAATTAAAACGGGCCCGTTTGTCCGTCGGCGGTGATCACCCTTACTTTTGAAGAAATCGACTTAGATTACAGAAAGTGAGCTTTCGGCACCCCCCATATTCGGTTTAGAGGGTTTTACCCAAACTTTCCAACGAAATTGGCAATATCGTTCTAGTTCTTCTTCAAACTTTGTGCATCGTTTCACAATCGTATTAAAGCGTAACAACTGTGAAATCAAAAATTACATAAAAATGGAAACCAAGTCTTAGTTTTTGTGTAAAATTTCGACATCGTACCATTAGACCTCAGCTTTGTGTCTACAGCTGTTAAAAATCATTTGGCACAGCCAAAATGTGTCTCATCAAAAAAATAATTTTCCAGTCAATGTTTTATTGGACGCAAAACGTTTTAGGACATTTGGAATCGATTTTTTAATAAAATAAAATGAAAAACAAAAACTGATACAAAATGAGTGAAAAGAAGGATTTGGAAGGAATTATTGCATACATAACGCCCGATCTAATTTACCAATTTTCTATGTATCGACCTCTTTTTCTGGGATTAAAAAATGTTGGATTTTAATGCTTTTATAACCTTCCTCTCAATGAATAGTTGTCAGCTGCAGGTTCGAATCTTGCAACACTTTGGGGTATCGCTGGGAAATTGTGAAAAACGCAACACCGAAATCAAATTACACACGACTTAAAGCTTAATGTCGTATGCTAATGACAAATATTAAAAGAAACAATGAAAATACGACAACAAGCAAAAAAAAAAAAAAAGCGGCGTCGAGTTTTCTTTATCGCAACAAAAGTTTCGCAGTATCACCGTTTTTTTCTATTATCACGAATATTTTTTACCATATTGCTGCCCTGTCCCGAACCTGCAAGAATCTACTATTATTGCATTTTTTTCGATTTCAAAAAGAAAAAATCGGTTATCGTAGTAAAAAGTTTTTTTTATTTTAAAAAAGAGTATTTCAAAATAGGAAATCGGATCGCAAAACGTCATACCGAATTTCACAAAAATATTACTTTAGAGTCAAATCAGCTTTATTTTGCCGCTACCTAGTAATAATTGCACCACGATATCCGTGGTATGTAAGGCGAGTGGATAATACGACAATGTTATCAAGACCTTCATAACTTTTGACCCAACGTGGACACGTGGACACATAGTCAACAGAATACTCAGAGCTACTTTATTAAGGTCGCACAGGACACGAATTCAAACAATAGTCTTATCTTGCGGTCCAAGTTATTCTGTGCGATTTTCATCAAAAATCAAGGAAGAGAACAGTCTACAAAAATGTTAATAAACTTTCAAAAGCGGTCAAGTCTTAAATTTTCAAAACAAAAAATAAAAACAATACCCAATACAAAGCAAATACAATGTTGAACAGTGGCTGGATTCTTGTTCTATGAAAATATGAAATGAAAAATATTTCCTTCATCAAATTTTTCATTTCACATTTTCGTGGAACAAGAATTGGGGCCCAGTTCTTTCAACAAAGTAACAACTACAATTTTTCTATTGTTTTATAACAACGAGACAACAATAATAGTTGATGAAACTGTTAAAGAGTAGCAATGTTGTTATTTGTGTTGTTAAACGGAGAAACTCAATCAGTGGGCCTACAGGGTCCCTATTCTGTAACGTTTTAACAACTTTTTTCGTTGTTTATTTTTCAAAATTCTTATCTTAAAGTCGTCTATTATTGCGCGAGAAAGTAATTCGCCAATTAAAATAATAACGGCACTCATTAAACTGACCAAAGTCATAAAAACGAACTCAGAATGCCGGAGGAAGATGTATGTGTGTACGAGTATGTGTTTAGAATTTTGCAGGGATTTTCCGCAAAATGTTATAGAACGAAATGGTAGAAATGTTGGGAATGTGTCTGGAAAATGGCAAATAACGGATGAAACTGTATTGTGATCGGACCTCCGTTATGTATTTAATTTCTAGTCCCGTTTCCGATTTCAATTAAAGAAGAAGATCTCATATTTCTGCGGTTAACCTTGTGCGAAATCTACAAGCTTCTTCGACAGTGAAATCTAAAGATAGTATTTAATTTGAAAAGAAAGTCGAAACTATTGAAAACATGCTGGCCTTGAAAGACTCCGATTGCAGTTACCGAATATTGTCACATGCGAGGCTGGTAGTCATTGGCTCCTTGGTGTAGCAGCCCAACAAAAAAAAACTAATTACAAATCGAGATACTAATCTATTTTTAACAGTCTGTAAACCGATAGTTATTCCTTATAGTAGCTATTACGAGCTACCTAATCCGAGTGACATAAATGGGTTAATAATTCGATTTGTAATATTTTTTTGTTGTTGTTTTTTTTTTTTTTTGACTAGAATCTGATAAAATGTTATCTGCTCTATTGAATATTTTAATATTGCCAATTTAAGGAACCAAAATATGGAGTGTGAATTATTTAAAAATTTTATATTCAAATAAAAGGGAAATGAGGACATAAATGGGCTGATAGAGACACTTAGTAATCGGAGTGTTAGCATTAATGTTCGGTGCATAGGTGGAAAATAAAGCCATAGAATACAATAGACTGTAGGAAGAAACACGTGGAGACAGTAAAATAAAAAACAAAACAAAGGAGACACGTAAAGGACAATCATAAGGGCAGGTACAATGCTCGAAAGATTCTATGTACAAATTGTAATTCCCTCAGACGAATAGCGTTGTCGTTGTCGTGGGCTTCTGGGCTCCTGGGCCTCTACGCCCTCCCCCGTCAATGTCAATTGCTTAGTGTACCGCTACGAATACCAAACGAACAGGCATACAAGTAGTGACAGATTTACAAGACACTCCAGACTTAATTTAATTAAACACAAATGCAAGTTAAGTTAATTACTTTCGGGCAATGATATTGAACGATGCTGAGATGAACGGGAACGTGAACGCCCAAATCCGGACATGGGACGAATGCCGGCAAACAGTCGCCTTCGCAGACTGGGGTCAGCTGCAGCGGCATGTGATGGCATGGCGCTTGTCGCCGCTTGCCCTGGCAGTGGCAGTCCTGGCACATAGGAATACTGCGATTGCTGTAGATTGTACAGGGCCGATGTCGGGGGCGTCGAAGCTCCTGCACCTGCTGATGCCCCCGCACTCGAACTCATCAATGTTGCAGACGTAGCGTAATAATTAATACCTATGCCTCCGCTTAAATACGCCGCCGTTGACATATTCGCCACCGAAGGTAACTCTCTCACAAGACGACAATCGACTAGAAGTTGATTTTAACATAAAAGCGTTCTCAGCATTCTCAAAATATACAAAATTAATATGAGTAATAAAGTCAGAGGATGCGAGCATGCCATCCCGCAGACAATGCAATTCAAAGGTGATAGCGAACGCGCTGTGCCCCTATTGCTATGATGACCCTTCAACTAATGGAGACAATAGCACTTAGGTCGATTGCCATCGAACATTAAACCATTGTCGAAAATAATATTTTATGGCCTCCATCACTGAGTGCGTGTCTGTAAATTGTCGTTCCGTTTGCAACTCGAATTGTTGTTCGTCTTCTCGGTCCCGGTCTTCTCTAGACTATAAAATATGTTGCAATATGAAGTAATAAATGTCGGAACAGAAAAATACCAAAAATGCCAGACACCGTTATATTGTTCCGTTCGAAAGCTAGAGTGATTCCCACAGACTCATAGGTAGGCGGACCGGCGGACGACAAGTGTGTGATTTTCTTTGGGCTTTAACATGGATACAGTTATCTCTCGTAGCAAAATAAACTGTCGTACGCCAATATTTTCCTTGTCCGCAAAGCCACGTCGCCGTGACACAGGCCCAGCCAAAAGAATTGAACGAGGTAAATGTGGCTTTTTCTCCGGGCCTGCCACCTAAAGAACGTTCAGACAGACGTCCATTGATGTTTCGAACAAAAGACATACACTTCGCTAGTCTGAGGCCTACTTTTTATTTCCAGTAAAGGAAGATTTATCATCACAACTTGAAGGTTTTAAACCTTCTTCCCTTACCAAGGTCCGTAGTACTGACTTTCAAAATGCCAAAGGAAAGAGTTTTGAAAAAACGACTTGTGGCGATTATTTTTAATACCAGAGTACGAACATAGCTGCTTATCCGGATAAGTTCGAGCTTTCGAATCTATCGGACACAAAGAGAAGGAATCAACAGTTCCAATTGTTCGCAATAACATAGTCCGTGCCAAATCGATGAAGTCCCCCGCAATTTTGGTTATTTCATGCCAATGGAAATGGGAATAGATCCAATGCACCACGATGGGGCACAACCTATTGCTCCCACAGAATAAATATGAATTTTGTTGGCTGGACTCCGCAATGTGTTTCAAGGTAGGTGACGATAGTTCCATATGCACTGCTGTCGTTTCTGGACCGATGTGTCAAACATCTTCGGAGTAAAATCTATGTCGGCGCAGAAGTCTAAAGATCTGTCGTAAATCTGGCAAGCTCTAGTCTTTGACTTTAAATAACATCTACTGGATCGCCGAGAAGTATTTCGAGCACTTACAAACAGAAAGACAAATTAATATACTTTGCAAAATCGTTTTTTTTATGAATATGTCGCAAATCTTATTCGAAAAATATAATTTTTTAGTCAAAGCAGTTGTGTTTGAGTGTGTTCTTTTCAAATGTTTAAACAATTTTGAGAAAATAGTCAAATTCAGTTGTAATCGAAATGCGTATTAGAACGTATGTTTGAACAAAATGTACGCTTTTTGTAGCGAAATAAATATTTGGAGAAATGTAGAACGTGATTTTGAAAATAATTTTAGTGCTTTCATTCAATTTCCGAGTGTTTTGCTCATTTATTGAAAATCGGTGCAACAGATTGTTGTGTCTATTTGACATAAAACAACTTTTTGGATTTGTTTCGATAGTAATTGTGACATTACAATCCATACAGGGAGGTCTCTTTACTTGCTTATCCTACATTTGCCCAAATGCAACTCTGTAGTATAGTCGTATAATGCCAATGTTGAGGTCCTTTACGAAATTTAATTCGAGATGCGAGATAAAAATTGTTTCATTCGATTCTTAAACAATTTCAATTTGTTTCATTGTTGTTCAAACCAATACAAACACATATTTAAGATGTGGTTGTGTGCTACCTCCCATCATTGTACCATGCAAACACACACACACACACATCCCTACATGCAGTATGTCAGGTTCGCACCACTCGCCTACGTTTAGATATAAACAATTCGATGAATGTCTCTTGGTTGTGGAATCCTAATCCTAAATAGAAAATATCTTCGCTCCCAATGGTAAACTCAGTCCGGTAGTAGTATCTTTTTATCATCTTGGAGCCCCTGTGCGACAATAACAAAACAATGCACTCAAGACATTTTTGCCAACGGGGAAAATGGCTCAAATCCAATGGTCAAATGTCTCCGCACTCGGGTCAGTTGTCACGAGTATGTACAGTGGTCATCAGGGCGAAACAAAATCAAAAAGCTGTGTTATGGATGAACGGAAGTAAGTTTCAAGTTCCTGGATGTATTGGAGAGAAATCCATTCCGGTGGTGGATTTGAGATAAATAATTTCCCTCGAGGATAGCTTGTGCTTCATAAAAAGATAAAACTGGGGTATTCAACAATTGAACTGTAAACTATAAATTTCTACGTTCCGTTAACATTGCTAGGGGTGTTGGGAAATGGGCGGGGCGGGGCTGGGCTGGGAGGGATTTATGTGAGTGTAGCTGTAGATACTGTAATATGGCACTCCAGTTTCATTTTAAATAGAAAAGTAACAATGCTTGGCTCAAGACGGGCAAACAAACAAAACAAACATAAGACGAAACTACTGAAAGAGAACGAAAAAAGCAAAGTTAAATGCCGCTACTTTTACTTTGATACATCAGAAGAGGAAGAGGTGGACATGTGGAGTAAATAAAAGTTGGAAATGTGGGTTAAGTTAAGACAAATCAATCGGAGGGGTGTGGAGAATGCGAGAATTAGATTAGATTAGATGAGGAGAGGAGAGGAAGTAAGCGTAAGTTGTGGTTTATCTCTATGGCGGACCTGAACTACTCGATATGTCTTGCACAGGCACTGGGAGTCCTCCGCCTGTAGAGCTGGAGATGGCGCCACTCCACTGCTGTGACAATTCCTGTTGCTGCAGTTGCACGCCAAGGATCGGCATATGTACCGGTGGGGGTCGGACACCACTTCGCGCACCCCGGCCGCCGGCTGACGAGCTGGCAGCACCCATGACTGTTGGCCGATCACTACGTTCAGGATACTCGGGCACGTTTACAATGGGTATATCGCTCTGTGACAAGCCATCTTTTCCTGTATTCTGGACGGATTTATCAGCTGCAATATTGTTGACGTTTTTATTCTCGCCGGCATGTTTTAAGACCCGATACACTTGATCGATATCGGTGAGTTCTAATAGGTTTTGGTTGGGTAATTCGGTCGAACATTCAGATTCAATCAGATTATGGCCAATTCGAATTGATAGATTTCGTTTAGAATTTGAATAAATTTTAATAGAGCCGATTATTTTGAAATTCAATTTTTATCGATGAAATACATGGTGGAATTTAATTAAATATCTGTATGTGTTGGAATAGTTCATAATTCAATCTAAAACTATCCCGCGGTTATATCAGTTTCGTTCCAATGGCAAGTTGGGGGTAAATTTAATAGATTTTCCTCACACATAAATAGGTATCAGAGTTGGGAAATTTGTAAAATATAAAAATAGTGTTGCTACAAATATTTACTATCGAAATTGTCCTCGGAGTTTTCATATTTGTATTTCAATTGGCACGACGCATTGGTCAAATGACTAGTGTCAAATCCTGGACAATACTTCAAATGGGGCCCTATAATAATATATATGATCTTATAAATGGATCATGGTCTTTGTGAAACATTTAGATCTACACAGGTGCAGTAATTTTTTTTTCGCGAAGCTAACGAAATGCCTACGGGTCATATTCCAATCCAACACACAGCAGCTTCTCTACAGCTTTCTAGGTTTAATGGACTTACACATATATCTCATGCTTTACTAAAGAAAACCAGTGTTTAGATACGTGTTGTTGGTGTTGGCTTGGTGTGGGTATGTCGTGTTGTGGTGTACAGCGATTCGGAGAGCAGAGGACTGCGATGAGTAGAAGTCGATTGTTTTCGCATAGATTCGAATCGTAAAATACCGCTAACAAGTGCAACCACTGGGACCGGGCCCCCAACAGGGGATTCTCGGAAATGGCATTTAGAAGTGAAGAATCTAATGCAATCTGAAGAATCTACTGGATCCCAGTGGGAAATTGGAGAACATATTGCAATGGAAATAAATTCTTGAATACTTTGTGAGACTTCCATTGCAAAAGGTTCTCCAGGTATCGAGAAGGGAATGTGAGTTACCGAAAAGTTATTATACGAGGTCCATTGTGTACTAGCTAAATTTCTACATACGCAAAAACGTTTATCCAATTTCCCATGTTACCGAAAATCAAATTGAAACGAAGGCAGTCGATTGAATTCGACTCCCGTAGTGTTTCTCTAACTTCAAAACTTTTTTACTAAGGTTTCTACACCTCTTTTGCAATAATTATTTTAATTTGAGAAGTCAAATAAATGCGTTTTTTCGAAACTGATTATTTAAGATGTGACACTCTTAAGAAATGACGTCTTCAATTTAGGTACACACAACAGGAAATGATTTGTTGGTTGTTACTAATTAAAATAATATATATGCAAAATTTATATATGTACGTTAGGGTATGCCATTTTTTTGTTTATTTTATTTAAAAGCTCACCCCCCTCTAAATTTTCCACTTGATCAAAACACCCTTAGTATGAAATTTTACGGCGATTGGATAATGTTAAGACGTCCCCCATATAGAGGTATAAATTGGGGAACTATAACGAAATTTGATCCGTTCGTGATTTCCAACCCTGGTCCGATACAATTTGGGACCGTTATCCCATAACCATAAAATGTCATTTTAAGGGATACGGGATGAAATGGAAAAAATTTAGCGAGTTTTTGTATCAACAATAATTTTTGGGTGTTGTTGGAAGAAAGTTTTGGATTGACGAATGTGGTTTGTTCAGTATGGGTTCCGCTGTCTCTATAGTTCTGATGGCTGGTCTTAGTTTTGAAAAGGATAAACGTTTATATATTCGTGTGGAAAATTGCACTTTTAATTAAGTTGTAGCCTAATTCTTCTACGTGTGTCTACTCCTCATAGGAGTGTCAAACTGTCGGTCCTTTCAATTTACCAGACTTCCATATTTAGTTACTCTGCCTCAGAATGCATCTGAAATGCCGTTTCTCAAAGAATGAACGGAAATATCGAAACGTACGTTCTAGTAGAATAGACTTAATTTTCATTGAAATTCAATATAACTAACACGCATGTTCCGCCTCTTTAGAATGGAATCTAACTGAAGAGAAACACTAAATGGTACGTTTTTAGGGTTCTTTCGTTTGAATGTCTGACGAATGTTTTGTCTCTGGTGCTTTGCTTATAAAACAAAGCATAGATAAGACTTTGACTCAATTCGGGGGCATATGTGTAGTTATCGAAAATAACGGCATTTTAATTTTTGTAAAAATGCGATCACCACAAAACCGTTTCAGAGCGTAGGTCACATCATGGATTGCGTTTAAGCTACATAAACTTTAAATTTCTTTGAAAGTCTGAAATGATTAGATGCGAAATACGGCCTCAACAGGTCAAAATGATTTTCATTTTTATGAAAACAACAACAACGGAAATAAACCTGATCATTTTTTTCATTTTGTCAATCTTGTCCCATCAAGTGTGATGCTAATCCACAGCAAACTTATCCAACGTTGTCGTGATATTTTGTCCTACCTATGTTGTAGAAATGGATTTTCACAACGAACATTTTTATGTTTTCCTTTTTTGGTTAACGATTTCCATTCGAAGGTCTAAGCGACTACTTCATTTTCGTCGCAATGTCGATGCTTCGCGTTATAAGTAATCAGCCAAGTGTTACCATCGGTTACTTTTCCATCTGGTCAACCTAGACAATCTGGGAGCTTCTGAGAGTTTGCACTTTTCAATTTCCATATAAATCATTAGAAGGACTCAAATATGTCTCCTATTGTATCTAGGTATGATATGATTCGAAAAACTAGTAATAAGCAAGTCGACCGATCGCGAGTGTCACAAATTAATCTAAGAGCTTTTCGATACCAATTAGCCCTCTCACAATCGATCAGGAGTCGATTTTAGGATTCATTGGCATTAAGCATTGGAACGCCCCGTCGCCTAACTCAATTCGAGCCTGCTCAGGAGAGCATTCCTTTGCCTATGGCGGCGTCCTAATCACAACAAAAGAACAAGTTCACTTCCAGTGTGGAGCATGCAGTGTCCGATACTCGCGGCAGCTAGCTCTCCGTTAGAGATGGCGTGTCCGTCTGCATTGCATGCTTCGGTTAGTCGAGTTTTTGTTTAAACAAGGGTAAACTAATTTAAATAATTAGTTAAGAAGCAAGCCAGAACCGATCAAACAAACATGTTTTTGTCGTAGCGCATAGTAAAGTCGAATAATGAAGGCGGTTGCAGTTGTATAGCTCTATTTCAATTTATCGGTTTTGATTTGATTGGAAATGTTGATCTGTGATATCTGTTTGATTTGTTGTTGGTATTGGGTGATGTGGTTGCTTAAATACGTGGTAGTACTAATTGAAACAATACGCTCCAAGAATGTCGTCTTTGGCGGACTTGGCCGTCTTGGTGGCTGGTGCCGTTGGCTCATGACTGGTGCATAACTTCTTCACATCGCCACTGTCCTCGTCTATTTTCCCCAACACATCCGCATAAACATACAATCAATTGCAATCCAAATAACAGTGAGGAGATTTAACAATGGGAAGGTATAAATTGTAAAAACACAACGCGGTGTATGCGGGATGAAGGCTACAAACGACAAGCTACGGCTGCTGCGACCACAATAGCCCGTTAGAACAAATGTACCGTACCGCCGGGGGCATTTGCTTCGATACTTTTTTATCAACCGTACGCACATCGGTCGTACTTCAATTAGATACTCTCAGAGTCAAGGGAACACAAGGACTTCGGAGCAGATTCAATGAGGGCAACTCTATTGGCATTAAGTGGGCAGCGACTCATTGACGCACACACAAAACTGATGAATAGTGTCCTTGCCGATTGGTTAATTAGTCCTTCAATGCTAGGTCATATGCAAACAGATTTGATGGGAGGAGCTTGTGTGTCGTTATTAAGCTCTGATTGGCGTCCGCAATAATGCAAAGAGTGTGGTTATTGAAATTACATCCGTGCATCAGTACTTGTGAGGAGGATACAAGTTCGACATTGCACACCATGTCGATGTCGGGACAGGATGTTTATACAATGTTCGATTGTATAAGGTCACAAAAGTAGTTTCGACTGGTGTCTAGACGAACACATTCAGCTGCGTATTCAAACATTCGTAAATCGAGAGGCATCCATTTTTTGATAGGTGGCCTACATGAAACTGTCGCTAAAAACAAATCTATCCGGGAGTTGCCTTTGCAACTGGTGAAACCTCCTTCCTTAAAGAGTGCCCCTATTTGGGTAAGTGAACAAGTTTCGGGTAAAAATGTGCAGAATTTGAAGGTAAAGGAACATAGCTATTGCTAAATATACCCAGAGTGAAGTTCATTTCTGAACTTTTCAAATAACTTGAAATACGCCTATCAATTTGTGACACTTCACTAAATGTCCTGCAACCACATATTGCCCATATGGCGAAATACTGATCAGATGGCAATATCGGACGAACCCGCTCTCCACTTGACTTCGAGATGAGTAGCATCTGCATTTCATGCATGGGACTGTTAGGCGAATCTATTTGTTTTTTCTTTTTCAAAATTGTTAGGGTTCGCGACAGGTTTGCTAGGCAAATTGTGTCCTCGATTCAGATAGGAGCTGTATGCACATTGGAATGAAATGAGCAGCTCGCGACTTTCACATATAGCAGGCAAAGGTGACTGACGGGATCTAACGTGGCAGGTTAGCTCGCAACGCGGAATACTTACTTTCTTCTTCGACATCAACACGGTTTTCCAGCTCCGACGTGCTCTTTGTCGTCTCAATAGTTTTTGCTTGGGCTGGCAACGGGGTAACTGGGAGGCGCAATCGCCATGAGCATTCAATTTACAAATTCGACAACGCAAACCTTGTCGCGTATGGCCTGGGAAAATAATAGAAGAGCATCGAATAGCAGACGTTTTTGAAATAATTAGCACTAAAAGTAGAGCGTAGGGCACATTCGTTACCTCTCAATATCTGCGAACAACATCACAGGCTGTTATCTTCTTGTAGGTGTATTCCTGCAGGTGGTGACTACCGTCTTCGTTGGGTCGTAATGGCTGCGAGGAACCTCCGGCACCATTGCGTCTAAATTTGCGAGGTTTAACAAAGAAACAAAAACAAAGAAA